TGCAAACTCAGATGATTGTATTCCAGCAGTGACAGGTACAAATTGACGACCTTCATACTGTCTTATAACCAAAAGTGGTGCATATCCAATTCCTCCCCATAATCCGAGCAGCATTATCCAGTTGTAATCACCACATCTGTAAAAGAACTCCCTTTGTATTTGCCACGGGGCTCGCCAAACAACGTCATTGCTTTGCAGATTTCGAAAGGCATTAATCCACATATCTTTCTTAATTTCTTTCGGCCATTCCTGCTCCAGAAATTCCTTTAATGGTGAATAATCCGTATTAAAGCGTCGGTATGAAACCTTTTCTGTTCTCCAGAAATGACTACGGATCCAAACATATAACAACTGAGTACACCCTGAGAATCGTCCACCTCCTAACCTTCTGCAAGCATTTAATGATCTGAAGGTCTCTGCTAGGATGGCAGAAACAGGATTAATCTTCTTCGGTAGTTGTTCAAACAAGTCTACCACTGCAGCTTCAATATATCCCAATACTTTTGGGAAGATGACCATACCATATATACCCAGAGCAAATAAATCGAATCGTACTTTAATATCTGGATGGCTCTGAATAAGTTCTCTGATGTTGGTCCAAGCAATGCCTTCGCTTTCGCCTTTTTGTTTTGTACGGGATGCTACCCATTCTTCTCGTACCCCGGCAATCTTTGCTAATTTAACTCGAAAGGGTTGAGTTTTAATTGACTTTGAATATATTCGATTCTCCAAAGCACCTTCAAGATGTAACAAAGTTGTATATTCTTCAATAGTAGGGACCAAGTCCTCCTTATTGAAAGTGAAGCAATTGTACCCTGGATTCCAGAATTGAACTAGGGCTCTGAGTAATTCATCATCAACTTCAACATAGAGCAAATATGGGATGTCTCCGTAAGTCTGATAAAACTGCAATTTTTTGTTTGAATCCCAACTTTCCCAAATGCTCCGCAAATCTTGCATATCATTTCTTTTTAGTGAAACTGAAGCATAACTGGCCAAGTCAGATACATAATCATCCTGCAAACTGTCTCCTTCTTGTCTTTGTAAATCCTCAGCCCACTGTCTTACTTCTGAGTTTAGAATTACTTGACTTGAACACTTTTTATCCATAGATGAAGGCTTTCCAATGAGACAATTAACACAAGGATCAATGTCTTTTATCCTGTATGATGCAATGCAAACAGAAAAATAAATAACACACAAAAAAGAAAATAAATTAGTTTACATAATAAAGGAATTTAATAATAAAATAAATATTCTTTATTTAAACATGTTCTTCTGAATTTAAATAATTTAAATAAACATGTAATTTAAACAATAAATAAATTAACAGGAAAGACAGAATTCATTTCTCCTGTGTATACACCTATTTTGGACAAAATTTCGGCATGACTTCTGATTAGAAGAGTTTCTAAGGTTTTTTATATGCAAGGTTTCAGATCTAGGAATAAAGGTACCCGAATTGTCCTTGTTAGTGCCCCCTTGGGTTGCTAACCCTCAATCCTAGTCCATTACAGACTAAAGTGGATCGAGTTCAATTCGAGGGGATACATTTCTCTATGCCTGACACGGAGAATAAATTCTCACGAAGACATAGAGCATATGAACCCCGAAAGTTACTTGCTAGGTCTGACACGGAGAATAAATTCTCACGAAGACGTCGCTTTCACTCCCACTTAAAAGGGACAACTCAATTATAGAGCTTTATGTAATGCAATGCAAGTGTTGTGTGTGAGGAGAAATGTTAAACTTTTGACATAAAAATAAATACTGAAATAAAATACTTGCAAATAAAACATATAAATATTATAAAAATAATAAATAAATAAAAATAAAAAAAATTTGAAAAGAAAGAATTAAAAATTAAATATATAAATTTTTAATTTTTAACTAATAGAGACAATTTATAATTAATTTTTAAAAGTTTGACCAGTCCCCAGCAGAGTCGCCAAGCTGTCGTAACCGGTTTTCGTCCGGGCACGAAATATTATAATTTGGCAGGGAAATTGATGTTAATAAATAATTTTGAGAATAATTTGTGAGTCGCCATCGACCTTTTGGATTAGGTAGGTCGAATACCTAAAAATTTTCTTTTAAAATAGTTTTTAAGAAAACCATATTTAAAAGATGAACTGATCTGCGTTTTATAACCAAAAATTCGTTCTTTTTAATAATAAAAAGGGATTCGTGGTCGGTTACGTTTAGGGAAGGATTAGCACCCCTACAACGCCCAAAATTGGTACTTTTTAATTATAAATTGTCTCTATTAAAATGCAAAAATATATTTAATTTATAATTCTATTAAAAAATATTTATTTATTAAAAATATCCGAAAAGAACTTCTAGGTGCCTTAAGACAGCTCTTTTCTTTGATATTGATAAATATTAATTTAAATAATATTGTTTACTTTTTAATTTTAAAATATCAGAATATGACATCCAGTTGTATTAAGACTGTCCTTTTCTTCGATATTAAAAAAAACAAATATTAAAAAAAAATATTTTATATGTATATTTATGAATATATATAAAAATATTTAACAGTATAATAAAATAAAAATATCACTAAAACAATATTTTAAGCAATAAAATGAAAATATAAAATAAATAACTAAATTATGAATAAAATAAAACTAAATCTAATTCCTAATTAATTGAAATTATAGGGATTAAATATTTTTTTTCTAATTTAATAATTTAATGACCAAAATAAAATTATCTAAAATTCAAATTTTATAATAAAATAAATTAAAAGTATGAACTAGGGACTAAAGAATTATTTATTAAAGTTAAGGGATTAAATCTATCATTTATCCTAAATATATTATTTTAATTAAAAAGACTAAAATGAATAAAATTAAAATTCAAAGACCGAATTAAAATTCTTATAAATTCAGTTTAGTGACCAAAATGTAAAGTTTACAAATATGAAGGACTGCGGAAGGGATTTAACTATTTTGTAATTACGCGCATAGTCCTTCCCGAAACGACGTCGTTCGGGAAGGACTATAAAAGTCCCAAACCGGTTGGCCCGAAGGGCCAACCATTTCATTCCTCATTTCCTTCTCTCTCTCTAAACCGAGAGAGTTTAAAACTCTCTCGCCTCTCTCTAGCTTCCCTCACCGGAGGGAAGCCGGTCACCGGTCGGCCACCGTGTGCCGCCGTGTTTATCACCGCCGGCCACCGTATCCGGTGGCCGGAAAATTGTATTTTTGACACCTTTGAATAGATCGGACCGTCCTAAGGACGGTTCCGATGTTCTTTTTCTTTAAATGGCTCTCAATCGGAGCAGATCTATAAATATACCTTCGGTTTTTTTGGTTCTCCGGTGATGTTCAGTGTTTCCGTCGACGGAGGCTTCCTTGGTAAGTTTCTCCCCTCTCTTCTTCTTTCTGTTTTTGCTCTGTTGGGATCGTTGGTAGTTTTATATCTCTCTCTATTTTCCTTTTTTTTTTTTTTTCTTTTTGGTTCAGTCTCTGTCTCTTCTTGCTGTCTCTCCCTTTTTTTTTTTTTTCAGGTGGGTGGTGGCTTTTATAGCCACCACCGGTGTTCATCTCGGACCGGTCCGAAGAGGGGGCTTCGGTGAGTCACCGGACTACCAGTGGTGACTCACCCCGTAGCCTTGGCGTGACCAGCTGGTGTTCTAGCTTCTGGAGTCTTCGGCTGGGACGTGGCAGCGGCGGAGCGGCGAGAAGACTGTCGGCAGCCGCATGGAAGCTGGAGCGGCGCCGCGTGGCCCTAGGGTATCAAACCCTAGGGTTTCTCTCTGGAACCATGTGGACCGTTGGATCGTGCCAGATCCAACGGTTGTGATGAGGCGGCTGAGGATGATTAGGGTTAGGAAACCCTAACTGGAAACCCAAATATTTAGGGTTTCTGGTTGGATTTGGACCGGTTTCAGTTGGTTTGTAACTAGGCCGGTTTAATTGTAATCGGTTTGTAATTTATATGTATTTAATATATTTAATAATAAAAATAATAATAATAATAATAAAAATAATAATAATAATAATATTAACAATGATAATAATAATATTAATAATAATAATAATAATAATAATATTAATAATGATAATAATAATAATAATAATAATAATAATAATATGGATAAAAAAAAAATAGTATCTTCACCATGTTTTGATATAAAATGAGCCGAGACACTGTAATCATTATTTCATTGTAATTTCAATCAGAAAGAATACTAGAAGCTTTGAATATGAAAAACACAAGAACGAACTATGAAAAGCGTTTTCCAGCAGCATCTGGGTATTACATAACATATACAAAAAAGAATATATCAATTGAAGATCTTTGTCTTTGTGCTGTACGATATATTGACAAAATCTTTGGTACTGCAGCTGATGCAGGAGTATGAGTTGAAATTAAACATAGAAGTAGGTGGATGCATCCGATGCATTAGCCGGTTCTCTACAGAGGATAGACCGAGCTTCGATCACCGAGGCGGCTCAACATCCTTGTATTGGAGCAGATTTCCTTGCAGCCTCTGCATTTGGGATGCAAAGGTATCATCCAGTATCTACAAAGGATAAAATATAGGAATGTTAGACCATAACCACTTCAAATCCGGACTCTTTATTCTGTGCAGAAATCATCGGTATCCGACAATTACCCGAGTCCATTTAATATATATCAGCATTAAGAAAAGACCTTGTCTGGAAATAATCTTTCATTAGCATGAACAAGTAGAAGAATCAATTTGGTTATTGTCGGGTAGATGACTTACTCCAAGAGCGTAGTATGATCCGTTATACCACACTCGGTTTTCCTTCCTTCCTTCGAGGAATTTCAGTACGATCTGGTAAAATATTGAATCGAAACACATCTCAGAAACAAGACAAAGCTAAGTTAAAAAGATCTAAAAGTTTCTCATTCACCTGTCCCATCCTATCCCAAAATCCACGGCAGGTTGCTACAAATATCCAACTTGTGAAGACCTCATGTAGGTTTGAGATGGAGTCTATCAGTTGTGAACTCAGCATCTGCATTCGCTCGCGGATCTCAGTTCCTTTATTTCCTCATGTATCCTTTTCAGTCTCGTATTTCGATTAGCTTGAGTCTGAAACAGTCATTAAGCACTAATTATAATAGTGTTTTTTAGGATGAATTGCTATCAAGGATGAACTTGGAACAAAGTTGCATTTCTTTTAACTTGGACGATCATAGGTGAGTGAGAACTAATAAAATAGGACTTACATTGTTAACAAGCTTCTCCACCGTTGCCTGCAAATAATTTTTATACTTCGTTCTCAACATGACAGTTATCCCATTCATCTGCTCTCCAAACAGAGACTTCTTGTCCCCGGTGAGAGGCAGACAGGATGCCCAAGACTTTAAGATCTCCTCCACTCTACAATGCAAGACATCAAGAATTCTCTTGACAGTGTTAAGGAATATTCCTGTCACCATTAACAACAACTAAATTAGGATATGCAAGAACTATATTCACGGCTGACCCAATAGACTGGAGTTCAATTATATTGATTATGGTGCAGTCACTTGGCTGGGAACTGAGTATAGAGCTGTCGACTGCCTTCGTGTCAGCTTCTGGACATGCATGTTAAGTCTTTTTGGAATACTATCTTTCAAAGGAGTCAAGATGTCATTATATTGTTTCTCCAGTGCTTTAAGAATGGCTCTTTCCACATTGGCAACAGCCTTCACATTTAACCAAAATTATGCAACGGTCACACAAACATGTTCAAAGACAAAAACTGCAAGAGAAAGTGTTAGAAATTACATTTTCCAAGACCAAAGAGTACTGAGGTGTTAAGAAATAAACCGAGTACGAGTACGAGTAATTTTCCTATAACCAGATTAGTGAGAATGCGAAATAAAAGCGGAAAAATAATACCCGAAATTGATAACGTAGTTCAGCCAATTTGCTTACGTCTCCGGACAGCTACAGATCTTTTACTAAGAGAGAAAATTTACAGGTGTTTACAAAACACTCACTACTCACAAGAAAGCTCTTTAGTATTGGGAGAAAGAAATGGTTTTTGGGATGGTTTTGAAGCTAAATGAGCTAGGGTATTTATAGTTGAAACTAATGACTTAATCTTGTAAATACCCTAAAGCCTAGGGATTAATTGTGATTATCCCATTATCATTTTTCTACAAACATCTACCAAACTTTGAAAAACTATTTTTCAAAGAAATATTTACCAAACTTTGAAAACCATTTTCCAAGAAACATTTACCAAACTTTGAAAACCATTTTTTCAAAGTTGGTTGCCAAACTTGAAAATCATTTTAACAATACTTTCAACAATCTCCCACTTGAAGACTAGTTTTAATCTGTCTTCACACCTTGATCAATGCAACAGCTTTTCTAGTCTTGTTACTCTATCATGCCAACTGAAGTTGAATACAACTTCAGTTTGTCTGTAGTCACCGTCTTTGTCAACATGTCTGTCGAATTTTGAGCTCCACTGATCTTTTCAAGTTTCAAAATCCCATCTTCCAGAAGAGACCGGATAAAATGATATCACAATTGTATGTGCTTTGTCCTGGAATGAAAAGACGGATTCTTTGCTAGATGTATAGCACTTTGAATGTCGCAATACAAGACATTATTTTCTTGTTTCTTGCCTAACTCTTCCAAGAAACTTTGGAGCCAAACCATCTCCTTGCTGGCTTCCGTAACAACGACATATTCTGCTTCAGTTGTGGAGAGAGCATCTTCTGTAGTTGTGAAACCCAACTCACTGCGGTTCCTCCTAGAGTATAGACATACCTTGTAGTGCTCCTTCTGATGTCAACATTTCCGGATAGATCAGCATCTACATAGTATGTCAGTATCGTATCTTCACCTTTGAAACAAAGTGCTTTGTTTGTAGTACCGCGCAGATATCTGAGGATCCATTTGGCTGCTTCCCAGTGTACCTTGCCTGAATTATTCATGTACCTGCTAACAGCTCTCACTGCTTGAGCAATATCTGGTCTGGTACAAACCATGGCATACATTAGACTTCCAATTGCTGAGGCATACGACACCTTCACCATGTGTGCACGTTCTTCCTCCGTCTTTGGTGACTGTTCTTTGGAGAGTCTAAAATGAACACCTAAAGGTGTACTTACTGGTTTAGCATCTTGCATGTTGAACCTGGAGAGTACTTTGTTGATGTACTCAGCCTGTGATAACATCAAAGTCCCCGACTTTGTGTCTCTTTTAATCCTCATCCCAAGAATCTGCTTTGCAGCGCCCAGATCCTTCATAGCAAACTGCTTCGACAATTTTTGCTTCAAGTTTATAATCTCTTGCATGTCTGAGCCTGCAACGAGTATGTCATCAACGTACAACAATAAAATAATGAAGCTATTGTCGAACCTCTTGATGTAGCAACAATGATATGCTTGGCATCTGGTAAAACCACTGCTACTCATGAAGCTATCGAACTTCTTGTACCATTGTCTATGAGCTTGTTTTAAACCATACAAGCTCTTCTTCAACCTGCATACCAGGTTTTTCTTGCCTGCCTCTATGAAGCCTTCTGGCTGCCTCATGTAGATTTCTTCCTCCAACTCACCATGAAGGAAAGTTGTCTTTACATCTAACTGCTCAAGATGTAAATTCTCTGCAGCTACAATTTTCAACACCAGTTTTACGACTGGAGAGAAAATTTCATTGTAGTCAATACCTTCTTTTTGCTGAAAACCTTTGACAACCAATCTTGTTTTGTAGCGTTTGCTCCCATCATGCTCTTCTTTGATCCTGTAAATCCACTTGTTGTGGAGCGCTTTCTTGCCTGGTGGTAATTCAGCTAATTCCCACGTCTGATTTGATATAAACGAGTCCATCTCATCTTTCATGGAAGACTCCCACTTGACTAAATCCTTCACCTGCATTGCTTCATCATAGCACTATGGTTCACCATTGTCAGTCAGCAACAAGTATTGCAAAGAAGGAGAATAACGTTGGGTTGGTTTAGGAATTCTGGAGGAGCGTCTTAGTTCCGGTGTGACTGGTTCTTCTTGAACTGCTTCAGAACTGATTTGAACATCATTTCCAGAAATCTCCTCGAACTCAGCAAATTCCTTTGTTTCAGCTTTGGTATTGGAGCTGCTTGATTCTACAGTTGACATGTCTTTGTACATCACATTCTTATTGAAAATGACATCTCTGCTTCTGATGATCTTCCGATTTTCATAGTCCCAAAATCGGTAGCCGAACTCATTACCACCATAACCAACAAAAACACATTTGTTGGACTTGGCATCAAGTTTACTTCTTTCAGTAAAGTTTATGTGTACATAAGAAATACAACCAAACACTCTTAAGTGTGAAAGGTTTATTTCTTTCTTGCTCCAAACTTCCTCTGGTATTCTTCCATCCAAAGGAACTGAGGGCCCACGGTTGATCAGGTAAGCTGCAGTGTTGATAGCTTCAGCCCATAGAAATTTGGGCAATCCGGCATGTATTCTCATGCTTCTGGCACGTTCATTCAGAGTTCTATTCATGCGCTCTGCTATGCCATTCTGTTGCGGTGTCATGGGAACTGTTGTCTCCATCTTGATCCCATTGTTTGCGCAAAATTCTCTGAATCTACAATTTTTGTACTCTCCTCCATTATCAGACCTCAACCGCTTGACTTTCAGACCAGTCTCATTTTCCACCATGGCCTTCCATTTTCTAAAGGTATCAAAGACTTCTGATTTTTTTCTTCAGAAAATAAACCCACGCATTCCTTGTAGAATCATCGATGAAGGTGACATAATATAATGAGCATGCAAGAGATGTAACTGGAGATGGTCCCCATACATCAGTATGAACCAACTCTAACTTTTCAGCCTTGGGTGTCTTACCAATCTTTGCAAAGCTGACTTTCTTTTGTTTGCCAAAGATGCAATCCTCGCATAGTCCGACATCTACATTCTTTAGATCCGGCAACTTTCCATTTGACAAAAGTGTCTTCATCCCTTTCTCGCTCATATGGCCAAGCCTTTGGTGCCATAGGTTTGATTTTCCATCAGCATCCGCTACTGCAATGATATTCTCTAAATTTGAGGTTATATATAGAGTACCAGTTTTCTTACCACGAGCAATGACGAGTGCTCCTTTGGTAATCTTCCATTCACAGCCTGAAAAGGTTGTACTATATCCTTCTCCATCAAGCTGTCCTACAGAAATCAAATTCCTTTTGAGGCCAAGAATATGTCTCACTCCTGTCAGCTTCCAGGTGGTCTGGTTTGGCAACTTTAATCGGATGTCTCCTTTTCCAACGATCTTCAAGGTTTCATCATCGGCTAGATGAACCTTCCCAAAATCACCACTGACATAGTTCTCCATGATTTCTCGGCATGGGGTGGAGTGGAAAGTTGCCCCTGAATCCAAGATCCATGATTCAATCGGAGTGTTGATGCTTAGAATCATGGCATCAGCTGTCTCCTCTGTCATGTTGGTAGATTCATGTGCACCGGTATCTTTCTTCAGTGCTCGACAATCTCTTTTAAAGTGACCCTTCTTGCCACAATTATAACATGTAAAATCTTTCTTTCCTGTTCTTGATTTGCCCCTTCTAGATTTTGATCTACCACGATTTGAATTTCTTTCTGAAGTTCTCCCTCTAGACTCCGTGTGCAAGGCTGAGGAGGTTGATGCTTCAACCGATTATCTCAGTCGAATTTCTTCACTCAGTACCAGATCCCGAACATCGTCGAATTTCAATTTATTATTTCCCGACGAGCTGCTAACTGATGTAACAGTAGCATTCCAACTGTCTGGTAGAGATGATAAGAGAATTAAAGCTCGAACTTCATCATCGAATTCAATTTCCACTGAACTCAACTGGGTTGTGATTGTGTTGAGTTCATTTAGGTGTTGTGTCATCGATGCCCCTTCCGTCATCCGCAAATTGAATAATCGTCTCATCAAGTGCACTTTGTTTGAGGCTGATGGCTTCTCATACATACTGGAGAGAGCCGCCATAAGACCCGCCGTGGTCTTTTCCTTTGCTATGTTGAAAGCAACATTGCGGGATAACGTCAGTCGAATAACTATGAGGACTTGTCTGTCGAGAAGAGCCCAGTCTTCATTCTTCATGCCCCTTGGTTGCTTTCATGAGAGATGTTGATATAGATTTTTCTGGTACAAAAAATCTTCGATCTGCATCTTCCAAAAGCCAAAGTCCGCATCATCGAACTTTTCAATTTTCACATTCCCTTCGTCTGCAACCATCGCTCCCACTCGAATCTGGTTTCGTTTGGATCGTTTCTGACAATTCTTGCGAACCACCGTGTATTAGAACACCTCCGTCGACAAACTCGTATCGCCGACAAAATTTTTACTATTCACGAAATTTACTATTTATGTGAATAGTAATGAATAGTAACCTCACAAAAAAAATTGACAAAATTCACAACCAAAAGCTCTGATGCCAGTTGTTAGGAAATAAACTGAGTACGAGTAATTTCCCTATAACCAGATTAGTGAGAATCCGAAATAAAAGCAGAAAAATAATACCCGAAATTGATAACAGAGTTCAGCCAATTTGCTTACGTCTCCGGACAGCTGCAGATCTTTTACTAAGAGAGAAAATTTACAGGTGTTTACAAAACATTCACTACTCACAAGAAAACTATCTAGTATTGGGAGAAAGAAATGATTTTTGGGATGGTTTTGAAGCTAAATGAGCTAGGGTATTTATAGTTGAAACTAAGGACTTAATCTTGTAAATACCCTAAAGCCTAGGGATTAATTGTGATTATCCCATTATCATTTTTCTACAAACATCTACCAAACTTTGAAAAACTATTTTTCAAAGAAACATTTATCAAACTTTGAAAACCATTTTCAAATAAACATTTACCAAACTTTAAAAACCATTTTTTCAAAGTTGGTTGCCAAACTTGAAAATCATTTTAACAATACTTTCAACATGAGGCCACCGATTGATAACAACTTCATAACCAATAAGGGAATCTTTTATCTTCTCGTACATTTCTTTAGCAAAAGGTGAGGTTGAATGGTTTGTTGTTACTCCAGACCAAGGCACCTGATTATGTTCCAAAGTCCATATTCAAGAGTTCAAGGTAAGTTATACCAGATCCTTGATAATAAATGCACTTGGTTTATGTACCCGAAGAAGAATATTTGTTTTTTGCTTCTTTAAATATCATCCTATTTATATCAGATTAAGTAAAAATTATGAAAAATTATATCCAATGCCTTGTACAAAAAATAAGAGAAAACGCCCAAATAAAAACAAAAACCAAAAAATCAAGGAGTAATTAACAATGAAATATTGCACAAAATAAATACTAGTCAGGAATCCAAAGAAACTGTAAACCTTAATTGTAAAAGTTAGTATAAAAGTTAGTAATTTATTGCATGTCACCGGCGATATCAATCCTCATTCGTATATCATTTTTATTTGCACCCGACAACTGAGTATCGATATATTATGTCGTCATCTAAATAAAATAATAAATAATAAATTTAAAATTTTATTAAAAAATAAAGTTAAAAATTTACCTTCTAGCCAAATGAAACTTAAGGGGCTGATGTAATTGGCGTCAAAAAGAGAACATGTACCACGCCCAAGACTGTAGCAAGACTAGACAACCAAAAACATCGGCCTTTTGACCCCTTTCGACAATTGTAGCCTTGCAAAGTGTCCGGTATAAAAATTTCAATTTGGCCAAGCCCCAACTAGTGTTGCGATACTCAGTAAAATTATTTAATATTGAAAGATACTGAATGTGCGCCAAATTATCGGATTTGTCCGTAATAATATCTCTCCAATCAATTGGAGAAGATAATCTTGAGTTGCAAATATAACCTCATCTTCGGTAGAGTAGTTAGTCATATTAAATTCGGACTTCAACCAAGTGATCCATACGGTACCCGTCTATGATCTCTGGTGGTGACATCTTCCCCAAAACTGCCTGAACAATAACAAATCGGCTGAAATCGTTGTACCTCACTAGTGCCGCACCATTAACCAAAACAACGAGTTGGTAAGCGACATCTTCCAACATAATAGTCGCTCCACCACTCAGAAAATGGAAAGTATGTGTGTCTCTAACGTTCAATCAGAGTCGAAATTAATGTCAGATTCACCTTAAAACCACTCTGATATGTGGCTCGATACAACTCAAATTATTGTAGATATATAATAATCTGTTGATGTAGATCTCTCAGTATTATTCTTCGTTGACGAATGCCCTATTCTTCTTTCAGGGTGGGTTTGAGCAAAGAAATATGTATATCACGTAACATTTCACATTGAGTAGACATTTTGAAGAATTCTTTAAAAAATAATTTTTCTAAAATTTTTTAACGATAAATAATAAAAATCTTAAAGCTCAAACGTTTATCAAAACGTTAGAGATTTGAAGGCTGAAGGGAGAAAAGGCATCACGACTACTGTTGCTTTAGAGATGAGCAACATAACAAATTGTAGTCACACCTAGATGTGCACATTTGTCGGATTTCAATCCGATCCAGATCGGTTTTTATCCGATCCGGTTTTTTCCCATAGAAAAAAACCGGTTTATAAAATAACCGGTTCGGTTTCTAATCGGTTTGGAGGGCCAGATATCCTAACCGGTGTAACCGGTTTCGGTTTTAAAAAAACCGGTTTTTTTAAAAAACCGATTTTAATATTCCAGATTGCTCATAGGGAACCGATTCCCCCCCAAGGGGGTACCGATTCCTCACTGAATGGTTTGGCTCCGAGATTTCCAGAATGCTCGGAGGGAACCGATTCCCCCATAGGGGGTACCGATTCCCCCTATTCAACGGTCGAAATATTTGAATTTTACACTTAGGGAACCGATTCCCTATGAGAGGAAACCGATTCCCTATGAGAGGGTACCGATTCCCCCACGCTCCAAGCATTTTTATTAAATGTTTTCACACTTAAACGGCTATATTATCTTCATTAATTATCACTAACGTTCAGAAGTGATTCAAGGTGTATTTAAGCAAGCTTAGAAGCCATTGATCAAAGACAAGAAACATCAAGCAACTAGAATCAAGAGAGAATCAAAGAGAAAGCATCAAACCTCAAGTTCGATAAATTCAAATACTTAATTGAAATACTTAATTAACTCAACATAATTGAAATACTTAAATACTTCCAAGTTTGATAAATTCAAATACTTAAAAACTTCCAAGTTCGATAAATTCAAATACTTAAAAACTTCAAGTTCGATAATTGAAACAAAGTTTACGATAATTGAAATAAAGTTATAAAATAAACTACATTGCCATCTCTTCTTCATCATCTTCGCCTTCTTCGTTTGGAGGGGATATTCCAAGTTCGACTTCTTCAATGTGTAAGTTTGCTTCCAAATCGGCATCAATTGCATCTTCTAGGGTGGTGATATGTTGCTTACGAGCCGCTCCATCCAAATAATCCTTTAAACAAATACATACTTCCACCGACTCGGGACTTAGTCTTGATCTCCGTTGCGATATAACCCTGCCACTAACAGAAAAAGCGGATTCTGAAGCTACCGTAGAAGCTTGGACGGTTAGTAAATCACGGGCCATGGCGGCTAGAATCGGAAATTGTGCTTCATTTTCTTTCCACCAAGCCAAAATATCCAAACTTTCAAACTCTTCAAATGTCATTTTTGATAGAAAATCACATGACATGTAATTTCCCAACTCGCTACTTGGGGTGGTAGTACGTGATCGTTTGGATTGGGAATTTACAAGAGTGTTAAAAAGATTCAAATTTATATTACTTGGACGTCTACTAGATGATTCCGCATTCATTCTCATTTGATCGTGTATTACACTACTTGATCCGTATTTAGTTAAATAAATTGCAAACATGTCTCAAAAACATTTGTTAAAATAATTTATTTGGTTTTGGACAAAGTTGGGTTCATCATCGGTTAGATTAAAAGCAAACGCAATTTGTTCAATTAGTGTTTCAACCCCACCAACATTTAATGTTGGGTTTAAAGCGACGGCACAAGTAAAAATGGGGGAATCTCCTTAAAATATTTTAAAAGTTTTTCCTTCATTGCAAAGACAATTTCTTGAAAAACTTCGGTTTCAAATTCAAAGTCATTTAGTCGGGTAGCCAACAAAAATATTTGATTAAGAACCAACGGGCTAGTAGGGTAATAAACACCGGATAAAAAAGTTGTTGCATTTTTAAAAACCTCAAGCAAATCGGTTATTTTGGCTATAGTTTCCCAACTCGAATCCGGATAAATGTTTGGGACATGACCCCTCTCGAAAAGCCGATCGTGAAATGTTTGCAATGTTTCCCTTTGCCTTAAGGCAGTATGCATCATCATCCAAGTTGAGTTCCAACGAGTTGGACAATCCAAATTAGGACCCAAAGCTTTTTTATTAACGGACTTACAAAATCGTTTATAATCATTTAGTCTTTTGTTGTTGTTACAAAGAACCGATTTTATCATTGTTTTAAATTCTAATCTAATCGGCTCAATAACCTCCAAACCGGCTTGCACGGATAAATTAATTATGTGTGCAACGCAACGGGTATGAAAAAACGCACCGTCTAAAATCGGTGAAAGTAATATTTTCAATCTTGGAACCGCGTTTGTATTATTCGATGCATTATCAAATGATATAGAAAAAACTTTATTTTCTAATTTATAAAGACAAATTACCCTTTTTAAAAGTGTAAATAAATTAGCACCGGTATGCGGCTCACCGAATAATTCAAACGCGATTGTTCTTTTCATCATTTGCCAATTATCTTGATCTAACCAATGTGACGTAACGGCTAAAAAAGAATTTCCGGTATTATGAGGGGAACTCCAAACGTCATATGTAAGCGACACACCATAACGGTGTTCTTGGAATCCTAAAATCATTTTTTCCCTCGCCGTACGCCACATTTTTATAGCATCTCTTCTAAGGGTAGTACGACTTACTTGAGTATAACGTGGTTGCATTAGTTGTTGAATTGTTGTCGTAAAATCTTCATCATCAAAGTGGTCGAACGGCAATGCTTTTGTAATCACGAACTTTGTAAACGCTTCTCGTAATTTTTCGTCGTCGTAAACAAAAACACCACCTTGCGGTGTAAGATTCGATTGACTAGGATCCGATCTTGAGCGAAGTGCCTTGCATGATTTTGTCAAATGGTTCTTCAACGTTGTGTTTCCTTCCGATGCAAGAAACTTTAGACAAAGTTTACAACGCGCCCTCCTCGAGCCATTTGACATCTCACATAAATCGTAGTGATCCCAAATGTCTTTGTTTCGAGTGTGTTCGATCACTCTCACGACTTCAAGGTTCCCCCCGACGGAAGATTCAGCCGTGTTACTCATGATGAACAAAAAATTACAAAAATAAGATTTGAGAGATGTTTAAGTGTTGTGTAATAAGATTTGAGAAATTTGTAATCAACCAAATACATCCCCAACCTATTTATACATGTTTAGGGTGGTAAAATGGTAATTTTTTAAAGAAAAAAACGGTCAAAAACAGTCACAAAATCCCCCCCAACGACTATATTAACGGCTAGTTTTTTAAACCCAGACCGGTTTTTTTTCGGATAAAAACCGGTTTTTTAACCGGTTTTTTTCAAACCGATTTTTTATCCGGTAAAAAAACCGGTCGAGGTTTTTTTCTCCAAACCGGTTAAAATAACCGGTTTAAAAAAATCCGATCCGGTTAAAAAAACCGGTTTTTCCCAAATCCGATTTCGAATATTTTTTTCGCAAAATCGGATATTCGGATTTTGTGTGCACCCCTAGTCACACCTCACTTAAATAATTTGTCTTTAAACACCTTCCTCGCCAATTCCATTTTCTAACCATTAGAGGACTTGCTGGCCCAAATATAAAATATTTATTACATTTATTAAACTATTGTAAATATAATTATGATTGCATAATAATGTAAAACTTTGATATATTTGATAAAATTTAATAAATTTAATGATTATTGTATTTTTTTTAAATTTTAATAATCTAACTAATAATTTAAATACGATTTTATGATATTTAATATATAATAAATATGTAATTTTTTTACTTTTTAAATATTAATAAAGTTTGATATAAATGCCATATATAAATTATAATGGAATTAATCCAAAATCAATTTTAGTAGGTCGGGTGATTAAGTTGCTCGTCTTTGTTCTCTCATATTTTTTAAGTTATAAATTCTAGACTCACTAGGAGTATTCTCCTTCCTCCCCTAGAATCATATTTCCCCTCCCTTCTAAATAAGATTATGATTGGATTTAAAATTTATAGAGAGAAAAAATCAATCCTAGTGAATCATAAATTTAACACGAGTTAACATTTCATCAATTAAATTGTAATAAATTAATAATGTAAGTGAACTTATTAAGTGGCCTCAGTAATTAAAGGCAATGAGGGACACCGGATTTTATGTTAAGGGTGAACTTGAATTTTTAAATTTTCAGGGGCGAACTTGAACTTATAAGATTTCAGGGCGAAAACAAATTTTTTGATAGAAAATATATATAAAAATCTAAAATATATGGTAATTTTAAATTTTCAAAGGAGGCGATTGTCCCCACTTGCCCTTCCTCGGTCCATCCCTGGTTAAAGGGAGTGTTGTTCTCCTTTGAGATTCCGGATTCAAGTAGTTATGTTTATATAGTGTGCTTTATGAATGGTTAAGAAAAAATATGAAGATATACTACCTTCTAATCACTCTCGGACTATTAAAAAACAATTTAAGTGACTGAAACATAACAATAATAAGTTTTATGATCAAAATAAGAAAAAAAAACAAACAAAAGGGACATCCTTTGTAGTTTACCCATTTAATTATCATACCAGATTCCAGACTGTCCTTTCAGTTTGAGAGAGACTAACTCAAAATCTGACAACCTTCAGTTTCACTACACCAAAACAAAGAACATTTTTGTCTAATTCTCTTTGCAATAGCAGGTTCCGAGTTACACAGTATGATAACATATCCACATTTTTATTTTGAATGCCAAATTATCGTATATATATCAATAACATGTTTCAGACAATTACTACAAATCATCATCTTCTTCAGCTTACCTTCATTGGTGTTTGCGTGGACTTGAAGACAATGACTCAGAGTTTCAAAGCCTTAAATCATCGGAAGCAAAATGAGAATCATGGAGGACTGTAATTAAGAACAAAACACCAAACACCGAACAGCTACTGCGTTCCACGTTTCGGCTCATGCACCCCAGAATTTCACTTTCGAAACTTCCTCTCCCACCTCCAGTCGGTGGACTCACTGTCCCAACGCCACTCTCCATTCACGCGCCGACACCTCGGCCCTCCGTACACGTCATGTACTCCCCCCTTTACAATGTGCATTGTAACTCACCTCTCCGGTAAGCTTATCAATCCCCTCCTCGATTTCTTCTCCCTGCTTGTCCTGGTTCAAAAGTCTCACTTCCACTCTCTTTTCCCCCAATATCAAGATAATTACAAAAACAGACGTTGTGTATTTCTTTGTATTGATCTTACTTCTACTAATGCTGATTACTTCTCTGCCTAGCCACGGATCTAGAAATTTAAAAAGTGGAATCTAAAATTTTAATACTGTATTCTAAAAAAATTTAGGTATGTAATTTTTTTTTTTCATTTTCATTGACAAATTAAATTAAACATTTTTCTTCAAAATAATAGATGTGCATTGTCTCCCAAGAGTCACATACATCTGCCCCAGTCTGTGGCCCCCACAGAAACTCTACTGGTGGGTCCTCAGTTTTATTTTCTTTGGTTTCTTATGGGGTATGTCATATTTGGGACATGCTTCATTCATCAGTTATATATATCTGAGGTAATCTCTGTTTCGGTTCTGCAAGACTTTGAGGTTCAGGGGAGGGGGGAATGGGTGAGATATCGAGTGAAATGAAGAGTGTTCCGGTGGAAAACGATGTCGTAGACCAGAATTCCGATGAGTTTAGGAGATCTGTGTTAGGAAAACAAGTGTTGGCAGCTGGTCGAGGTGATCATGTCAATGGCCAGCAGCTGCTTCACCAAGGTGATGATAATAACACATTTCTTGCTTCGCAAGAAATCCATGGAAATCCTACTGTTTTTAAGGTTGATGATGATGTTGGTAACGAGGGAGTGCAAAAGATGAAGGAGAAGCCTAAGCTTACATTGACTAAAGATAATAAACCTCGCCTTCGATGGACTAAGGAACTCCATGCTTACTTTGTTGATGTTTGCAATCGCCTTGGTGGCCCTCATAGTCAGTGTTCATTTCCTTCAATTCTCTGCCATTTTTTTTCTTCGTGTCTCCTTGTAGTTTTTTCAGTGTGTGCATATACTTCTTTCTTAAAACCAACAAGAATAATCTTATATCAGGTGGTATATGTTGAATTAATTGGGATCTAAAATGGATTCATCTTTGAGAAGATGTGGTAGGAGCAAGAAAATGACTCATAAAACAGTTTGATTCTGCTCGTTTGACTGGAAACAGCATGCATACATTGTTCATTGCTTAGCAAGATGTCTGCTGTATTTTTCCCTTTTCTTGTTCATCCTTATCCAACATGCATCAACCGCTTAGGCTTGTCGTGTTGAATAGTTAAATTCTCCTCCAGCTTCATTTTTCTTGCTCAGCTTGAAAATTTTCATTTCCTTTTTCTATTCCTAGTATAATGATATATGTTTGTTTCTTGGGAAAGTAACTCTACTCATTCAACGGTGATTGGAGCTTGTTTTTACTGCTTTCCAGATTATTCACTCAACATGCATAACCTTTTCCAACCAATTTTAGAGAGAAATTAATTCATCCGTGTGTGCAAATGAGATTTTGCACAAGTTGCTAAATTTTTGTCCTCCAACACTTTACAAATTTTATATGTTTTTGCATAAGTTTCTAATTTTTTCTAGTAAGATTAAACTGCAGATGCTATTCTCCGATCACTTCTTCCCTTTGTTTAGATTCCACCAAAAATATTTTGATCATAGTTTTAGATAAGATTTTCTTGAATTTGACATCTTGTTTCTCCGATGTTTTTTTTCGTCCACTTGATCTCTTTTTATGTGTAAGATTCCTAAAAACCATTGTCAGTTTGTTCACTGCATACTCCAATTTTCCTTTTGCAGTGTTGTTTTACCTTTCTACGCTTGACATGTTTAAATAGATCGACTTAACGGTAATCTAGGAAGTCCGTGTAGGCTCCTCGCCGCAGCCGACAAAATATATGTCGATTAGTGGCTGTTTATGGATGTTAAACTTTTCTTTTCTGATTCATATCATCATGTAGTTCTGTTACATTGCATTCTAGGAGTAATGTTCATACTCTTCCAGATGCTCATGGGAAGTTTGTCGCCTTGTATTACATCGTTTCTCTTAGTGCCGTATGTAACGGTCATACGGCCTTACATGACATTGATGATGATGCGTATTGAATTCTATTTCTTCGTTACCGTATTTGACGGTACCAACTGCAAGCTTGTCGGCTTGTGTACCGTTGCACACACGCTTCGATGACTTTCAATATGTTCACATTGTTGAAGAATAGGGCATCTCCATGGGTCTGCAAATGACACTTGCAGTTATAGTATTACCATTTCTGCTTAGCATTGGCCAATTTTTAATCAATTTGTTTCAATTTAGTTTACTATGGACTCGGTAGCAACTGTAATTGAAATTTCTTGTACCGCAAGAATAACGTTAGGACATAATGCTTGATTGTTCAATGATGGACCAACCTAAACGAAGATGGCCACTATACCCTTTTTCTAAGGCTTATTCGTTAGTTTCCAGGAAGTCATAATGTATGAACTGAATTTCGGTTCATGTTTTTTCCGGCTCTGAAATGTTATTCGAGGACTCGTCTTGCCTTTGCTGCCTGTAAGTAACCTTGTAGTTACTATTACATATTGATGGACCATACCGTAAATCTTTTCTGCAGGAGCAACGCCAAAGGCCGTCCTGGACCTGATGGATATCGATGGACTCGGTGTTCGCCATGTCAAGAGTCATTTACAAGTAAGTCTTTGTTTGTATTTAATTAAAACATTTCTCTCTTTAGCACTTAAAACCAACTGTTAGAAGTTTCCATAAGAAGGATTATCATTTATGTAAATGTTAATCGATGTATGCCTCAGAAATACAGACTGGGCAGATATGCAGACAAGGAGTCGACTGAGGCAGGCAATACCGGTAGGTTCTGTTCATTTTAACCTGCGATTCGAATCATTATGGTATGTCCTCTTCACCTCGAATCGGAAACTCGAAAAGGATTGGAGTAGGGGCAAATATTTTTTCTGATATTTCTTATCATAACATGTTGCTATTCATGCTGACCATACATTTTGAAAACAATTTCTGAATGAAAGGAGTCTCATTCTCTCAAGTTGCTGGAAGTTCAAGCAGTGTTACTCCTTCAAACTCGATACCGTATGATAACAGGTATGCTTTTCTTTTCATGACGTTACTCTGTTTATCGATATATTTAATTTTTTTGCTCAACTGGTTCAAGGTTTGATACCTATGGTTTACTCTTGCCGTTCAATATGCAGGAGAGGCAGAAGAAACTCGAAAAACGGAAAGGGAGAACTCTATCTGAAACTTGAGGTGAGTTCGGTTACTATCGCTTCATTCTGGAATTTTTTTTAGCATTATATTAAAGCCATAATTTTGCAGGTTGAGAAGCATGCTCAAAGGTGTCTAGAAGCACAAAGAATGTACCTATACAATGCACTGGAACGCGCGTGCAAGAAGTTCGCCAATCAGTATATAGGCAGTGGAACCACGGGAAACACAGTCCTATATAGGCAAGCACCGGCTGGTTTAGGAAATTTCACGACTATACAGGCTGGTCCATCTGGTTTCGGAACATCAGCCACGACAATGCCACCGTTTTATTTCAACCAGCAGAATGCATCTGGTTTCGGAACATCGACCACGACACTGCCACCGTTTTATTTCAACCAGCAGAATGCATATCCAGCGTACAACAAACCAACAACTCTGGCCAGTCTCGGCAATCAACAGCTACCTTTTGGATGTCAGCAACAAGCAGCTTCTTTTCACGCTGCACCTCAGGGGGGTTTCTCATCTTCATCCGGCTATTCTGGAAGTTCATCGCATCAAAATACTTTGCCCGGAGTTGCTAGCCCCATGGACTGGCCTGATGATGAGGACCAAATAAGAGCCTTACTGAACTGGGATGATGATGAACCAAAGAACCTCGATAAAGCCTTGTAACTTTCTTATGGCACCTTTTAAGTAAACTGTGTAAAATCTATAGTAAAAAAACATTTTCAGTTGTAAGTTTTCAAAGTTTTTTTCATCCTTGTATAAGACTAGTTGTGGTTGTAACTCTTCCTGTCTGTCCTGTCTGTAAATATTAATGAAAAATAAATAACATAGGTTGGTGTCTTTATGGTAGGATCAAATCAACTAAAGAGCAGTTAATTCAACAACAAAAAATAGTCAATTAGACAAAGAAGATAGGCCTTTCTATTTGATTAAAAATAAGAGAAATACAGGACAAAATACTGGTAGCTGAAGACCAAGATGAAACTCATAATCGATCTTGACGTATGAGAAAAGATAGTGGACAAAATAGAGCGATGTGATGAAGCCAATGGTGCCTGTAGACAACATGATTGCAATTGCCATGATCATGGAGTAGCCAAGATAAAGAATAGCTTATACAGGACCACTCAAACTCTGAAGGTCGAAGACCAAGTAGTTGATGGAGTATAGGAACACATAGAGTGCAACTGAACCCGAAGCAAAGAAAGCCTTCCACCACCATCGCCATTCCTCGACACAGAGATGCATGTAGGTAAGGATCACCGACACTTCAGCACAAACAATGACCAGTAGTAGGAGAACTATAAGCAAGAAGCCAAACACTTAATAGAACCTGCCAAGCCAGATGCTAGAAAGGATGAAGAGTTAGATGAACAGGGTTCCGAACGGAAGGGTCCCGGCACCAAGAACGAGAAGCCAAGAAGGATATTTGCGTGCAGGAATCTCCCTAGGGATCTGGTTGGTCCGTACAGGATATTGGATAGGTTCCGCTCGGGTCCCCAAGAATCCTCCCAAGAGAGTGAGAGGCACAGAAATGCAGAACCAGAGAGACAAGAGTATAAAATACAGAGAAATGGGAACTGCACAAGTACTTTTGCTGCCCCAAAGAATAAAATTTAATATTGTGAGGATAACAAAGACAATTCCAGGAAAGAAGCATGCGACCGACCAGGAAACAGACCTCCATCCTTCAGAAGAGACCTTGAGAGTTCTCCAGAGTCGTACAGCAGCATAGCCAGCAGCGGTACCCAAGAAAAGATAAGAGAATAATCATCCCTGTCAGTAGCATTCCTCGTGAAGCTGGTGACATGAAACCAAAGGCAGAAAAAACTATAGTGACAGCTGCCATTCCTGTGATCTGAACTCCATCTCCGATCATCACACAGAGAAGTTTCGGGAAATCTGGTTCCCTAAAAAATCACCCACAACAAACTTCCATCCAGAAAGCTCTTCATTCATTTGTGCTTGAGCTTCTTTGTCCAATTCCTCATACCTTGTCAAATCCCTCCCCACAGTCCTCAAGAATATGACGAACACAATACCAGCTAAGAAAGTAATCACCATCAAAGAATTCAGAATTGAAAACCAGTGCACACGTGCTCCTTCCATCTTCAAGTAAGCATCCCACCAAGACGGCCATTTAATATCACTTTTAATAAATTCAACCTCGTAAGTAAAAGAGATCCTCTCTCGTTCCCTTATTATCTGTGACTTGTCTAGCTCCAAGGGGCAATTCACAGGAGAGATAGTCATACATGTGAAGTTTAGTCATAACTTCTGGATCGTACTTGACACTGCATGGAATCACCTGAAAACCAACAATCTCGAAACCAGATGCCTTCTTCTGATCAACTTCAGAGATCACACCCATCCCTTCTTCCCTGGTTCCAATTATCTGCACACCAGTGCCTTCATACTCGTGAACACCTTGAACTTCAGATGATTGATAATGTAATCATTGTTGCTATTTGGTGGAGTATACCCAACTGGGAATCCAGTCCACTGAATGTTAACCCCATTCTGTTTCGCAATCCTCATAACAGGTAGATTGTCTAGAATCATATTCACTTGATATAAATCACGAGTCCTCGATAAGGTAGTTATCGATCTGATCTCCCATGAGGAGCTCACCTTGATTCTCGGCACTTTTCTTTATTCCACCGTGAGATTTGCAGTAAGGGAGACTGTAATAACAAAAAGGACGCTCGGTTTCAATGGAAGTTAATTTTGGCAAATATAGTGTCCGAGGTCGAATACGTGTGCATGTAACTCCCAGGCAGGTAAAACCCATGAGAATAATGGGCAAAAGGAACCAATAACAGAATAACCGAGCAGATTCCGGGCATCTTTCTTTCCGGAAAAACCATGATGATAGCAGATCTTGCAATATACTGTCGAATCTAAGCAACTCTAGTTCGAAGCATTCAGAATGAAAAACGAAATCTACAGAAAACAGATGTTCAAAAATCAGTTTCCATACAAATTCAACTTAATATTAACTAAAAAAACCCTGAAAGGATACGCAGATGCCTAAGCATAAAACAATTTCATTGCATCAACTTTAAAAGCGGTAGATCCAAATACCGAAATGCAAAAAAGCATGAATTTTAAACAACATTTCAACCAAATCTACTGGAAACCAATCATATCAATTCAAAATCATAAAACAGATCAAAGTACTGAAACAAAGAAGAATTGGAAGATTAGATCTAAAACCAAAATTCCCATTTAAGTAAAAGGCGGAGAAAGAATAAAAGAAGATTGGAGAAAGAACCTGAGACGGGTCTAGGGGACTTTCGGCTCCTTGATCCAACAATGACACAGAAAACGCGTGTGAACGAAGCAGAGAACCCTGGATTTTGTTTCTCTTTGATATTTATTTTCCCTCTCAATGGTTTAACTTTAAAGCTACTAAGAATTATGCGAATCTTTTGAAGAGAAGAAAACGGAGATTGGAAGATATATACATAATAGAGTGACAAATCGAAGAACGTGAGAAACAGTAAAAAAAATTGAGAAATTTAATGTAGGGTAGTGACCTAGAATGACAGAGCTGTCGTTGTTGTCTCATCCGACGCCGTTAATTCTATATGTGGGCGTTTAGGCCTTAGGGCCAACCAACACTAGGCCCGTTGGCCTAGACCCAAATCCACCGCCGAACCGCCAATTGCCAAATTATAAGGAATTCTACACCGACTACGAACCTGAGTTTCTTCTCCACAACGATTTAAGGATTCATTTCCCGGGTTCTATCTCGGCTCCCAAATTTATCTGCCCTTTTCAATTTCCTTCGACCCCTCTAGAGATACCTCGAAAACACGGGACATAAGATGGAAGATGATTGCCCAACAATCAAACGACCTTCGCTTAAATCCCATCCCCGTTTCAACAACTACCCCTTTTGGAAAGACAAGGTTCGTCTCACTTTCTAAGGAATAATTATGGGTTTTCAATCGTCTTTTAGGTTTCTGGTTCAGTCCATTTACCGTTTTATTTTCTGTTGAAAACTTGGAATTGATGAATGCTGTTTAAATTGTGGATGATGAAATTTAGTTTAGAGAAAATTGTTACAAAAGGGTGCGAGAAGACCGGACTCGTTTGCTTTGGAAAATGAGGTTGCCTGCTGCCCAATCTTTCAATCACAAGGTTCTCTGTTTTCATTCAAATGCACATCTCTTTTATTTCTTTCTTTCTACTTTCTATATCCACTTGTGTTGTAGTTCCTATCTAGTATAAGCTCGGTGCCTCTAATCACCTTGGATTCCAATATGTCATTATCTTTATTGCCTTTGGACATGGAATATGGAAAAAGGGATTCTTTTGCTTCATATCTGGTTACCCTGAACTTGGAAGTTATTTGAGAATAGTGTTTGTTACAGAGTTTCATGATCAATGTAGTCGGGAGGGGAACATGTGTAGGGTTGTACTTTACGGAGCTAATTACCTCGCTCGGGGGACTAATTGTGGGGTGTACTTTTTGGGCCTGGAATGACTTTGCTGGCCATAATGGATGGGCGTGGAATGATCATTGCATTTGTCCTTGTTAGCTTCCCATGATAAAATCTATATTGCTTTCGTTTTGTAATTTTTCTTGAAATTCCCTTGTTCAACGCTTGTGTCGAACAGAAAACCCCTATAAACTCTCCAAATATAGGGGGGGAAAACATAGGGAAAAGATACCCGTCTTAGATGGATATCTGCATTTTTTAGTAGCATGGGAAAATAGCCTGGTGAAGTTTTCTTTCACGCATTTTTTTTGGTTACATTTGTTGGTATTTTTGAATTTGGATGCTTTTTCTTGATTTCTTATAATTCTGTATGTCTTGATCTTAGTTAATGCGGTTGAGTTTATTTGTACATCCCTTATTTATTTATTTATTTATTATGTTTTCTGGTTTCAGGAGTTCATGAAGTCTGCCTTTCAGGACATAGTTTCTGATGAACTAAAAAAAATTAAAGATTCATCAATGAGTGACAGTTTGGGAAGATCTAACTCTGTTTCCGAAGCCTCTGATGAATTATGGGAATACAATGGCCTTCAAGATGCATATCAAGGTGAATGTGAAGAGATATTGTTAGAAATGCAAAGAATATTTTACGAGGATCTCAGGAGAGAGCCGGAAGGAAAAGGTAATTAATAGTCCCATTTTAAAAACAATGCTGTTAAGGCATGCATCAAAGTGTTGCCTGTATTCATCCCTTTCCATAAGTGGGTGAATGATCATGCAGATGCCTGACTCGGGAGGTTATATTTGGTAAAGTCACCCTTTTTGAGTTCAAATGTTTACTCTAGTTCCTTGCAGAACCAAAAGAAGGAACAGAAACTTGGGAAGATGAACAAAATGAGTACTTGGCCAGTGCAGTTTATGAGCATATGCAATTGAATGAGCAGGTGCAGTAACAATAAAGTTCATTTTTTATTTTTTATATAAATTTTAGTATTGTTAACCCTTGGGGGACATTTAACACGCAGTGTTTTGTGGGTGTGCTAAAATTCTTTCTAGGCACTATTTTCTGATAACTTGCAATAGATTTCTATAGTTTAGTTCCTGTATTATAGTTCATAGGACTTTCAATTTACATCGTTTTCTGCTATTTTTTTTCTAAATTAATGAAACCAGCAAGAATTTTGGTGTTTATGTTAGGTGCAGCAACAGATATGGTGCCCCATCTGTAAGAGAGGACAGTTACAACAGAACCATCAGCTAATTTATTGCACCCTTTGCAAACTTCAGCTTAACAGAGGCGACGAGGTTCTCCAATCAGCTTTTCTCTTCTTTTTTTACCTTTCTTTATTGTAAACTTTTATGCATGACAACTATTTCTATGTGATGACTCTTATCATCCGATTGCTCCATGTTTCATTTGATAAGTTTTCCCAACCCATGTAGTCCTGACTCTTTATTTTCCTTGAAGTATCCATGTCCAAACCAATGTCCGGCATATATTCAAATAATGGCACGATATATGATCTTTCAAAGACTTTAAAGGACATGAGAAAACTTGTAGAGAAAATAAGCATACATGTATCAAATAAATATCTATATCCAATACTCATACCTAAGTCCGAGAAACATAGCTCCTAACCTTGAATAGCCTGGATTCTCCACCCGAGAGATACTTTGAAAGTCTTACCTAAACTCTTCCAACTGAATATGTTAAACTCTATAAAACAACAAGCCACTTCCATTTATTCTTTATAGATTGAGATATTCTTGGAGCTTGCTCTTATAACAAAATAAATATGTACTTGTCTCTCTCTATGATCTTTTTGCTTGCGTGAAGGATATGAAGCATTCAAGAGAAATAAAAATTGATTTGTGTAGTAAGATGATTGTGTGCACTGCTTTTATGGTTTTTCTATAAATACAGTTGCTTGATAACTAAGCCATTGACATTTTGTTCGTGGTGATTTGTACTCTCATGTCAAGATTAGTCATTAGGAACAACATAAGTAAAAAGTTGCTTCTGAAGTTGACTTTCAATGACTTATCCACAACCTGGTCTGATTTTCAGGTTAAGTTAGATATATTATGCGATCGATTAGCGGAGGCCCATGCAGATCATCTCGAACGAGGGTGTAGATTAAAACCCAAGTTTTGCCTTGAGACTAGATTTGGCTTGACTGCATTGTACATCCTTTGTCAGGATTGCAGTACCTTCGAGATTGTCATTTAGCTTCCTTCCTGTTCCGGCCGCTGCATGGTTCATGGGTGCATCAAGCGTCTCTGGTCCATTAGTTTTAGTTTTGTTTTTGGTTAAGTTCTTGTGGCATGCTTCCATTTTATCTGAATCATATCTCTTCGCACGAGAGTTGTAAGTTTTGATATATTCTTTCTTTCTTTTTTATTTCAGTATGTTAAATTGAGCAGAAGAATCTCGTTTCTACTCGACTCTTACCATGATCAAAAGAATCTTGTCCCCCCTCAGCTCTCTAGATGTTCGTTTTACTGTAATGTTAGTTGCAATCCTTCTTAACAATGTCATTTCCTAAATTCATACTTTAAATAAAATATTTTTAAAACATATGTTAAATATGATATAGTTTAAAGAAGTCAACTTTCCGTATGGCATCAGTTGGATGAAGATTAATTAATGTACACCAATATGAACAAAAGAAGAGTACTTCACCCTCCATTGCAAAACTTTGAGGCCGGTACTGCATGCTCCGTTGCACCAGCTGATGTTAAGAATCATCAAACTGAAGCCGACAACAGCTACAGATATAGAGATCTATAGCTGCTTGAACAGCCTTGCATTTGAATCCAAAGCATAGCCGAATGATGAACTTTTAGAAACGTAACAACAACAAATCGAAGCTCAGAACAGCTCCTCTCGGAATTGAACTTGTTCCACGCTTCCTATTTAACATAGATACAAACAAAACACTGAAACCGCGAGGAAGAAAATATCCTGGAAAGAAACGGCAGCACTGTTATCCATCTAACAAAAATGTAACAAAAAAAGTTGTGGGTCTACTATAAATTAGGACACCAAGAGTGAGAAGTACCTTGAGCAAGTCAAACACCTTTTCTGAAATATATTTCTGCAGAAGATTGGCACCTTTTTGTTGGACTTTATCAGGATGGATGCAAAGCGTCGCCTTTCTGTAGGCCTTTTTAACTGCCGCAGCCGTTATCAAATCCGTCAAAAACACAGGTTGCCATCCGCATTCAGGCCAAAGAGCAAGTTGAGGAGACAAATAACACTAGTTGTCATGAAATTTGAGCTATTCAAATAAACAAATGGTGAAGAGAATCAACTAAAAATAAAATAGGCTTGAGGGTCACCTTTGCCCTTGTAGTAGACCCAATTTATCATTTTTACCTCTATCGTATTTTCACATCAATTTAACCCTCAAAGTTACTTAATTGCATCATCATATACCTTGCCCCTAACTTAAAACTCTAAATTATAAACCATATAAGTTAAGATTTAGGGATTAGAGGTTATGAGTTATAGTTTATGGTTTAAGATTTATAATTTAGGATTTTAAGTTAGAAGTAGAGTAAAAAATGATACAATTGAGAAACTTTGAAGGCTAAATTGATGTGAAAATACAATAGGGGCAAAAATGATAAATTGGAACTATTACATGGGCAAAAACTACCCTTTTTGTCAATAAAATAAAATCTGTCATCGAATTTGATCGGAATAACAGCAGTACTAGTTACAAGAAAATGAAACAATTTCATTGGTGGGGAGCAAAAGTTAAAACTTTTAGATGAATGACGTCATACATAAGTACTTGCAAGCATAACGACGACCATGCTCAAGCATCATGTGTTAGAAACACAATTAGTATCCTCAAATAGAAATCTGCATGCTCTAGAATTTGAGAATGATAAATTTTGAAGCAAGTTCTAGCAGAACATGGTAGAAAAGAAAAGTTAAAGACCGGAGACTGGGATCTGGATTGCTTTTTTAAATACTATTACTGCTATAGACTATATAGTCAGTATTATTAGCTGGAAAACACCATACATTGCACGATCATAGGAAGGTTTAACAAGATGTTTATATCCAATTTCTAGGATACAGAAATTTAACTAAAACGTCAGCAGCACAAAATATAATTTTGCAGAGGATAGAACAATTTTGAGTTCTACTTAAAATCAGCACCACATAGACATCCATTTGGACATATCAGCACTGCACTGAGCATAAGGAGGTTAGCAACTTAACTAGGAGGTTATCAGAAAAAGGACAGTGTTCAGTCACAAGGTGGTTCTTATTTTTGAATTCATTTTTGTTCCTCCAACAACTATCTTGTAGTTTGCCCTTAAAGCCATCTACTCCATGTACAAAACATCTCGAAAAAGCATATCAGACGATTGAAATGAGTCAACAAAATGAGAAGTATGGAAAAGGAAAACCTAGGGATATGATTGTTACCACATCAAAACTACAAGAGAACCAAAAAAATATGATAGAAATAGGCAATAAAACAACATACATATTGCAATGTTGATAGCAGAGCACGCAAATTTCCCTCTTTCCCAGCAGCCCATCTCTTGATCTGAACATCTAATGTTTCAGCAATTCTCTGAAATAATCCCATAAATCATTATTGGACAGACCAACTAAAAGAAAAAGTGTTGCAGATGTATGCATGTAACAGTAGAAAGTCACTCATTCACACACATTAAATAAATTCCGTACATATATTATACACAGCATATAGAAAGCATAGCAGTATTTCTTTCAGCAAATGTGCCATTATACATTCAATTAATAAAGAATCTAAATTAACATTACATAGAGGTGCAAGGGCAGATGTGAAGGTTAATTTAATTTTAGGTTCAAATAAGAAATTGATTTGCCACTCGTTACTCATCTCACCAGTGATACTAGGGCTACAAAAAATCTTGACCAAGTTTGAACTTATCAATAATAACAATTTTAGAAATCTAGCAGAATCATATTCTAGGATTAAATACTCGGTCATCGTTTTTTTCTCATATAAGTTTTTATTTGTAAATCAAAGCCACCTGATTTGTTTACATGTTGCTATAAAATTAAAGGGATTGTGTAAACTATCATGGAGTCAACTTTACAATTTACCTTTGACGCCAACTGAAGGTAAAACTGACAACCACAGACCTACACACACTTGCAACACATAAAATGCAATGCCACTGTGCAAGGTAAATCATGTGAGGGGTGGTGGGACCAGAGTAAAACGTTCATAATGGTTGGACCTATTGAAAAATAAACTCCAACAAAAACACTTGAAAAAAATGAAAAGATGGGAAACTAATAGAAAAAAAGAATATCTAGTCCATCCACTTACATGTCTCTCAGCTTGTTCCCTTTACACTTGAAGATCGCGTTGATTTTTCTCGGCCAGTGCTTTTGCCTGGAGATTCAGAACTCAATAGTAAAGCAGGCTAGCAAGCAAATTATAACGGAGTAGGAGGGCAAAGATAAATGAAATAGTGTAACAGAATACATACAGCACGCTCCTGAGTTCTTTGGTGGCTTTCCAACCAGGCTCTGCGCCTATCTTCAGTTTCCCCTTCAACCTCTAGGAACTCACCAGATGAAGATGCAGTAGCTTTAGCAAGCGAAGTAGTTTAGTCAGTTATCAATTAAGGAGAAGAATAAAAATGAAATTACAAATTATAGAGATCATTATATCAGAATTTACAATACCTCCAAAAATAGAACTGAAATCATCAACAATATTTGCATTTGAAGCTTTCTTCATCCTAGACGAAGATCCAACAGACGTTCTCCTAGTTACTTCAGACCCTCCCTTGTTTTGTCCATCAAACACAGGATCCTGAAGGAGCAGCATATCAGGTTAGATACTAGACAGCCTGACGCTGCATCTTAAATCAGGAAACAAATACAAGGTGACGACCTTAGGTTCTCACCGAAGCGTTAGCTCTTGGCCTTGGTGCGCTGCTTGGTTGAGAACTCGTACTAAAAAAGGATTCAAAATCATTATCATTATATTGCTGGCTCGCCCTTGCAGAAGCAGCTGCTCTTTCTCGAGCCTCTGCAGCAGCCCTCTCCACAGCAGCTCTTTCTCCTCTATGCTCCAGCTTCAGCTTTAGCTGTTGCAGTCCTCTCCCGTGCTTCCCTCTCTCTTGCCTCCCTTTCTCTCACTTCTGCAGCAGCTCTTTCTGCTTTTCCTTTTGCCTCAGCAGCTGCTCTTTCACGAGCTTCAGCATGCGCTCTCTGTACTGCAGCCCTTTCCGCACGCTTTCGAGCTTAAGCAGATGCCTTTTGAACAGAAGCCCTTTCGGCTCTGGCACGAGACTCAGCAGCTGCTCTTTCGCATGCTTCTCTGGTAGCCCTTTCAACAACTTGTCTGGCCTTTTCCCTCTCCATCTCCCTGACGCGCTCCCTCTCTTTTTCAAGCCTTTTTGTTCTCTTTGCTTCTCCTCCCTTTCCCTCTCCATTTCGCGTCTCCTTTTCTCTCTTTCTTCCTTCTCCCTTTCTCTTTGTTGCCTCTCATGCTCCAGTCTCTTTTTCTTTTCTCTAACTTCTGTATCCAAAGCATCTCGGGTAGGTCTCTCATCTTTATCCATTTGACCAGCTTCTTTAGTCTTAGCACCCTTCAATTCTCTCTCTCCCTCATTCCCTTGGCATGACTAAATTTAGCCTCTGCTCTATCCATTGCCTCTTTCATGGAAGCAGCAGCAGAATTAGTCTCAAAATCATCACCAGGAAAAACTTCAGTACGTTCAACATTATTCCAGGCCGTACCCATCGCAAAATCTTCGAGTTCATTAATTTGAGATGTAACAGAGCTGCTTGCCGCAGCATGAGCTGACTGAGAGCTCTCTGAGTACTGAGTTGAATTCTGGAAAGTAGAAAAAACATCTGCCTTCTTTTTTGCATTTGTGGAAGAAAATGAGTCTGCCGCTGTCTTGTAACTTGTGGGGGTCTTGGAGGTGGGGTCTTGAAGGAGGTGCAGCGCTAGTAGGTTGTGTAAAGAGTGGAACCTCTGATACGATGAGCCACACATTATCAGACGCATCAAAGTTCTCTTCATATCTTGAAGTTCTATGTACCTGGGAACTAATCTCACTAGAACCAACATTTGAGTATGATGGAGGGCTAGTAGTTCGACCAACAGAGCTATGAAACATACTGGGCATGTCAAACACAGGTTGATTAGAGTCAAGAAAACCGTCAATAGAAGGCATCCTCTTCTTTGTACCATTTTCGTGATCCCCATTATTTTGCTCTTTAGTAGGAGCTTGTGGCCCGCTTGCAGTTCTTAAAGGGGTTTTATCCTTCCCTCTCTTATTGATCTCAGATGACACAGGAGGATCAAATTTTCCAAGACCATCAAGAGGATCAATATCATCAAATATTCCCCCATTACCAGATGAACTCTCAACTCTTGACTTCCCAAATCCATTAAGTTTACTCATTACTTCAGAGGGGTCAGTAAACAACCCTGTGGATGAATCTGCTAGGTCTGGTGTCACTTCTAAGACAACGAAAGGGTCCTCCATCAAATTGGAGGCTGGTCTATGAGACTGGACAGCCTCTGAAGTTGATCTGCCATAGGATGAAGACAATTCAGCTAATATTTACATGGTGTAGCAAAGTATTATAAGAACAAGTGACAGATAAGACTGCATCAAACGGATATTGAACTGAAAAGAAAGATACATCATCTGAAGCTTCATTACAAGGAGCTTAGGGTCCAAATATACCAAAACATATTTCTTCACACTTAAGCTAGTATAGTTTCCAATTAAACATAGTTAGAACTGTAACAAAAATAAGATATTTTTCTGTTTATTTATTATTCCATGTATGGTGACAGCTAAAATACCGTGAGTGACGATCAATTCAAATGGTTCCCAAACTCAGAAGAAAATCTCAAAATTTTCTGGCAGTACCTATTGCCCATCTTAACTCTGAATGATAAATAGCAAATGAATTTAATCTAGGAAATTTGCCACCTTAATGAAAACAGAAATAAACAGAGGGGGACAAGCATTTCTCAACTATGTGTAGAGCTAGGGAAGGGGAGAGGAGAACCATGCATTCAATTCAGTATACATGTGCAGTGTATTGTAATTAAAAATCCCAAAACACCATCATATGCAAGCCGTCCTGATAGTAAACATAGGTTTCTGTTGTGTTTGCACCTCCAAGTGAGAATGACCCACAACTATGTAACTGATCAATGTGAATATCTACCCTAGTGGATAAATAATAATTGAAAATCCATGTACAATATTTGTTTCTAGTTCATCACAACATATCAATATTTGTAACTGATATTCATGGATGTTCTCTCTAACTTTTGGCCGAAAACTTGCAGTTGATGATGGTACATATTTCTTGATTCATTAACATCTAACACATGGATCCTGAAGGCAAGAAATTTGGAGGAGGTACTATTGTTTAGAATGCGGGTTTTTATTGCACTTTTTTAGTTTCCATTGCATTTGTTTTTGGATTTGTTCAGCCCATTTAAAGTTTTTAGATTGAGGATTTCAGAGCCGACTGTAATTTCATGTGAAGTTATTTGATATTTACTAATTATATTATTACATTCCTTTTTTTCAACTGACAATAAACTGTTCATATAAATAACTTTAGGACCAAGGGAACTTAGCGGTGCTGTTGATCTTGTAAGTCGGTATAAATTATTGCCTCACCATGACTTCTTCTGCAAGAGACCTCTTCCTGTATCAATCTCAGATACACATTATCTTCATAATGTGGTGGGAGCTACGGAAATTAGAAAAGGAGAAGGGATGCAGCTGGACCAGCTTATTCAGAATACTCATAGCAGAGACATTAATGCCCGTATACAGCCATTTGACCGTGATTTCTTACGGAGGCTTTCCAGCTGAGTGAAACCACTCCTGTAGAATTGCCAGGGGTAGGAAATTTACTGCTTTGACACCAACTTTATTTAAGTTTCATAAGCTAGATGATGGTCTTAGATGTTAAGCTAATTCAGTAAATCGATAAAAGTTTAGTAGTTATCCGGTGTGTATTTTTTCATTGAGAAATTTTTTCCTTCAATATTCGTAATTGGCGTTATTGACCATTTTGTTTATGTCATAGATTGAAAAAGGGGTTCCTACTGTTGCTTGGAAATCAAAGAGTGAAGCTAAAGACAGACAAAGACAGTCTGTAATGTTGAAGCTGATTCACAGGTCAAAGAGATGTAAGTTGATTTTTAATCGTGAGGCCTCCGTTGTGTCTTGATAGGTAAGTTTTAAGTTAGCTTGAGTTGAGGGTTTGAGAAAAACGGGAGGGTGACCCTTGTAAGCTTTTTGTTGCATCTTGATTAAGTTTTAAGTTAGCTTGAGTTGAGGGTTTGAACAAAACGGGAGGGTGACCCTTGTAAGCTTTTTGTTGTATCTTGATTCTTTATTAATAATATTTATGGGTAGTCTTTTCCCCCCTTCCATTATCAGTAGTGGTGCTCTTAGAACTATGCTGATATGAGGAGGTTGTTAACGAGGCCTCAACTCTTATAAAAAATAATATTATTTCAAAAATTGTTTATTAAAATATCACTTATTTTATTATGTTACCCCTAGGGCCGTGGCTGAGGGGGCGCAAACTGCGCGACCGCGCAGGGCCCCTCAGCCACTTGCATAAAAATAGGGCCCCAAAATCGTATAATTGTCAGAGAAGTCTTCATCATCCAGTTATGCTTCGGTTGACGGTGTAATGATGCAGGTGAGTTGAGTTGAGTTTTGAGTGAATCACTGAGTTGGGTTGCTTTCATTAGACTTTACTTTTTTATTATTAATGTTTATATTATTGTACGGCTCTAGTCTAAGTGTAGAGTTAAGAGAGTGTTTGTTAGAGTTAAGAGAGAGTGATGGACTTTAAAAAATGACTTTCATATAACGTTTAATATAATATTACTCCCACTTGATTCTCAACAAAACAGTTAAACGTTATTAAAAACTCTAATTGCTTATCCTAGTTTTGCAATTGGTTAACATCCATAAATCATAATCTTTATTTCAATTTAGTGCCTATCATTTTAATTCATGCCTAATTGAAAAAAAGTATATCTATCAATTGTTGTCATTAATAAGCATAAAAATAGAGTTCCCGAAATCGAATATATCTATCAGTTGTTGTCATTAAGAAGCATAAAAATAGGGGTCCCGAAATCGAGTATATTTATTAGTTGTTACCATTAAAAATCATAAAATAGGGATCCCGAAATCAAATATATCTAGAAAAATAATGGCCCCTTATAAAAATTTGCACAGGACCCCCGATAACCTAGCCACGGCCCTAGTTACCCCATGGGTGGAACTATAAATCTATTAAAGGAGGGAGTTAAATTTTTATTTTTATTTTTATTTTTTAGAAATATATATTTTAATTGAGGTGGGTTTGATTTTTTCGATCATACTCTTTATTTTTAAAATGGAGGTCTCTAATTTTTTAATCTCACCCTTTATCTTTATAATTAAGGTTTCTTTTTTTTCAACCATACATTTTAATTTTTAATTTAATAATTTTTCTACTATTTATTAATATAATGTTAAATTAATTATTTAAAGTAATATAATACACTTTCGTTTTATAAGAGTCAATATTTTAATTTTGTAAAGGACCTTGAAAATATCTGAGACGACTCTAATGATATGAGTTCGTCACTTTTTGAGTGACTACAAAAGATAAGAGAGAATTCAGATTTTGGATGGTGACTAATCATAAATAAAAAAGGTTAACTATAATAAAAAAGAAAGTAAGAAAAAATAAAAAATATTTGTAACTTTCACCTCTGCACCAAATCACCACGTCATCATGTTATTTCATAGTTTACAATTTAATTCTATAATTAAAGCTTAAACTAAAATTTAATGTTAGAATTGAATTAATTTAAAGTTTGATCGTAAAATCAATACTAAACCTAATATTTAATGGTATTTATTGTAGTTTACCCTAAAATAAACAAATAATGTAAATAAAACCCCCGAGGTCCAGCGAACTAAGCTACGGACCCGCAAACCTGAGAGAAGTTAAAAAGGGAAATTATATTAGCTTCGTCGTTCTCCTCCTTCAAAACCCTAGAAAAAAACTAAAAGTACCTTCTTATTTTGCTTGCTGTAGAACTCTCTCGAACTTTCTCTGATCTACCACTTCTACCCTTCTATTCTCTTCAATCCCTTTCCAATTCCCTTCCCTTCCAACTTCATCTCGCTCGTCATTCCACTTGTCAATTTCTCCTCTTTCCCCCTTTTTTTGTTTTAAATTTCGCGCGGTTTTGAATTCTATTTGAATTTGACAATTTTTTTTACTGGTAGAGAAGCGTGAGTGAGTTGAATAAAAGAGAAAAAAAAAAAGTTGAAGTTTTGAGCTTTGTTTGTCATGATCTAGAAAAGTACGACGACAAAATTGAGATTTCATGTTTGAGGTATTGTTGATTTCTTTTAATGTTTCTTGTTTAACATTTGTAATGATAAATTTTAATGGGTGTTTTCACACATAAAATTCGTATTTCTTTGAGAAAATATTGTTTCGCCAGTCGTTCTTCAGCCCCCCCCCCCACCCCCACACCAAATTATACAAATACGAAGTTCTTAAAATAGTGGAGATGAGAAATTGAGAAGAATGTAAGTTTGTAATTTTGGTGTCTTTTACGTGTAGAGGATTAGGCTATTAGCTGTTATCCGGGAAAGACGAAATATTAGGTTATCTTTCTTAGTGGTTAAAGCGGATTTAGTAGCAAAGTTAGAGTAAAGCATACTGGAATTACTTGTAGCTAGAGTGTCCTGTATGAGGTTAATTTAAACTTCTTAGTGTGCTGAAAGTGCCATTGCTTGAAAACTTGTTTAACTTATGACCATTAACTAAGAATTTAGAATTTAGTTTGAAAGTTACATATGCTATATTTGTCATGCATTGGCAATTAATACTAAGGTATGCTCAAAAGTTTAACTGGGGGAATGTAGTTTTTAAAGTTAGTGGGTGCATTTCCTTCTACTTAGTCCACCAATGAACCTTTGTTTGGTTTTATGATTGAGGCTCTTGGTGCTTTGATATGCTTAATGCAAATATTAAACCTGGCTTTGCCTCCATTTTGCTTTTTGATCTGAAAACAAATGGTAATCTGTTTACCATGTTGGCTTTTATCCATTTTACTTCGCATATCTTTTGCTCAAATGTGCATATCATTTTGTACTACTGATATAATTGTTTGAATATAAATAAGTAGTAAGAAAGATGAGGGCAAAGAAGTTAATTGCTACATTGGAGAACTATATTCGATGCGAAAGTTAGCTTTGTTACTTAAAAGTTGTAAGATTCTAATTTTACAAGCATGCAACAGAAGGGGAAAAAAGTGTATAAAAGATGTAAATACCATACGTATGCATATGGCAAGCTGCCTGTGATGATTATGCTTAACTAACTGAAGATCCAATGGAATCTTTGTTTACATCTATAGATGTTTTGAATTGGTATTCATGGATTTTCTCTCCGACTTTTGGCTGAAAACTTGCAGTTGATGATGGTACATATTTCTTGATTCATTAACATTTAACACATGGATCCTGAAGGCAAGAAATTTGGAGGAGGTACTATTGTTTAGACTGCGGGTTTTTATTGCACTTTCTTTGTTTCCATTGCATTTGCTCAGCCTATTTAAAGTTTTTAGATTGAGAATTTCAGATCCAACTGTAATTTCATGTGAAGTTATTTTAATATTTTCTATTTATATTATTACATTTCTTTTTTTCAACTGACAAGAAACTGTTTATATAAATAAATTTAGGATCAAGGGAACTTAGTGGTGCTGTTGATCTTATAAGTCACTATAAATTATTGCCTCACCATGACTTCTTCTGCAAGAGACCTCTTCCTGTATCAATGTTAGATACACATTATCTTCATAATGTGGTGGGAGATACGGAAATTAGAAAAGGAGAAGGGATGCAGTTGGACCAGCTTATTCAGAATACACATAACAGAGACATTAATGCCCGTATACAGCCATTTGATCTTGATATTCTTAAGGAGGCTTTCCAGCTGAGTGAAACCACTCCTGTAGAATTGCCAGCTGTAGGAAATTTACTGCTTTGATACCAACTTTATTTAAGTTTCTTAAGCTAAATGATGGTCTTAGATATTAATCCAATTCAGTAAATTGGTAAAATTTTAATAGTTATCCGGTGTGTATTTTTTCATTGAGAATTTTTTTCCTTCAATATTTGTAATTGGAGTTATTGACCATTTTGTTTATTTCATAGATTGAAAAAGGGATTCCTACTATTGCTGGGAAATCAAAGAGTGAAGCTAAAGACAAAGATAAAGATAAAGAGAGGAAGCATAAAAGCCACAAGAACCGAGATAAGGAGAAGGATAAAGAGCATAAGAAGCACAAGCGCCGTCATAAAGATAAAGATCGAAGTAAAGATAAAGACAAGGACAAAAAGAAGGATAGAAGTGGGCATCATGATTCTGGCGACAATCACTCAAAAAAACACCATGAAAAGGTTGGTAGTTTGTTACCTCATGCAGCTAGTGTTTGATTACTTGTGTTTGGCCCCTTAGGATAGTGGAAAAATCGTTAAATCAACAAGTCATGAATCATGACTAGCAAACTATGACCCAAGTACATAAAATCAGTCCGCTAATTATCCATTATTTTTTCAAAAATAACATTGCTTCTGAGCTATGCATGATATATTTCCTTTTAGATCAGTAAAAATAGTAATGAATAAACTACCGTGGACTGTTCCCATGTTTAATCGATCATCTGAATGTTTTATAATTTTTATTTTGAAATTAAATTAAATTTAAATGGAATTCCATGTAAATTTCTTTATAATTCATATATTTTCAGAAAAGGAAGCGTGATGGAGATGAAAATCTTAATGATGTTCACAGACACAAAAAAAGTAAGGTAATGCACATCATTCTGGACTTTGCTCTTTTTTGTTGCATTATTTGGATGATCTTTTATATTTGTGATACGTGTAGAATCAACTCTTCATTTCTCCCCAGAATAATGCTCATAAACCTTGTTTTATAACTACTTTCTCATCGTGCTAATCAAGTACATAATTAATTTGTTGCAGCATAAAAGCTCAAAAATAGACGAAGTTGGTGTAATTAAAGTAGCAGTCTGAAGGGGTGGCTCTATGGTTCATTTGTTGTCTCAGATGGTTAGAGAGTGGGAGGGTTTGCTTAATGTTCTCTACTTTGCTTGAGGTGAATGCCTTATCATGCTGTTTTATTTATTTCTTATTTTAATTTCTGGTTATTCAAAATATTATCCAATACTAATCAATTATCGAAGGCTTATTTCAAAAATAGGTACCTAAGGTACCTAAAGTAATACTTAAAGTATACAACTTATTTCATCAAAGTACTTATCTAAAGTATACCTCCTTTTGAATCCGGGTACCGAAAGTATTTTTTTTGGTCAAAATAGGTAGTATACCATCTTTTTCATATGGGTATCTAAAGTTGACATGTGGCATTTATTAAAAAATATTTTAGGCACCTTTATGAAAAAGTGCTATACTTTAGGTACCTACTTTGACCAAAAAATACCTTAGATATCTAGATGAAAAAGTGGTATACTTTAAGTACTCCGACCAAAAAAAATCTTTAGGTACTTGGATGAAAAAGATGGTATACTTTAGGTACTTATTTTTTAATCAAGCCATTATAGAAATTAAAAAGTTCACTGAAACTTATATATGAATGTAACCCCAGATCTAGAATAATTTACTTCACCTCCCTATAACATTATGTGCTTCATTCTCCTCCTTTCAACTCAGGCAACCAAGTTACAATGAAGAAATAACTGTTAACACTGATTTTTCCATTGTGTAAATGGCAGATTTGAGCTGGGTTGTTTTCTGCATAATGTTTTTAATATAGTTTTTTAAATTGTGTAAAAATAGAACATGCAGGGTAACTTTATACATGTAGCCAAGCAACTGGCTTGATAGGGCATATTGTTCTCAACTTTTTGTCAGTAAAATATGGCAAGAGTGGTGATTTGGCGGATCTGCTAAATTAGTATTTTCTTCATGTTGCCATACAAACCCACTGAAAAGGTTGTGAAATGTCATCCAATTGACTTCTTGGAAGTTAGTTAATTAGTTACACATTTCAAGTATTTACAATTCTAGTTTTGGGGATAAAGATTCCAATGAGAAAGGTTGTGCAATTACCTGCTTATCTCTCTTGAATCGATATATAAACATGGTCTATTCTCCGGATAAGATTGAATTCTAGTTCCTACTGTTAATTGCGTGACCTGTCATTATTATTTCTATAAGACAGACTCATTATTTTAGGGCTTGGGACTGGAGGTGGGGTTGGGGGAAGGGTGTCACAATGGCAGTTAGATTTTAAAGGTTCTAACTCTCACGGGTTTTTTTTTGGCAGAGTATCTTGTAAACTGAGTAAGGAATGTGTCGGTGAACTCATCATCCATTGATCGATATCTAATCCAAGGTATAGGTTGCTGAACATGATCTTTTTTGTATCATGAACATTGGCCCATATTTGCCTGTAACATTCAAGAATTTGATCTTTCTTTCTTTCTTTCTTTTTTGTAGCATGTTGGATGACTTGCTGTTCATTCTCAATTTTATTTAGTTAAAAGATTTAAAATAATAGTCCTGAAAAGATTAGGGCATATATAAAATTCATTAACGATTTAATTCGCTATCATGAAAAAGAATTCAAGTAGCTTAGATTCCTGATATTTACATTTTGTGTGATTAAAGTTGTATAAAATATTTATGATAAAAACCCAGACCCAAAAATAAGGGTAAAGGATTATTGCCCTGTATGGTTCATGTATTTTTGGAAGTGTTTTTTAGAACTGAAATTTATAACTTTCGTCTTTGTTTACACAAGGAAAAAGATGTAAACAAAGAAAACTCTAAAAAGGCGTTTACAAATTAAAGCTCATAAAATTTAATATTTACAAGAGAAAAAAAATAAAGAGTGAAAAACGTTTTTCTTGTGTTTGATTGTTTGGATAGGTGTTCTAACATGTCTTTTAAGTATCTTGATCTTGTATTTATATGTTGGAATAAAGTTGTGGATATTTTAACCGTTTGGGGATGTTTTTTCTGCAAAATAAAAATATCCAAGACAGAGGATATTGGTACTCCTATAGGGAATATTGATAATACATTTGTAATATTTAAATAAAACTAGTTGTTACTAGCCGTTGGGCTTGACGGTATCGATACTGTGATCATGGTATCGATCTTACTATGTAAAGTAGTATCGGTATCTCTTTGGGTATTGGTACTTATTTTGCATTTTGGAATTTGAGCAAGCTGGTAGTATCGATACTTCTCTTACTTTTGGTATCAGTACCGGGTGAACAATATCGGTATTATTCATATAGTATCGATAATGTAATAACATTATCGGTACTTCGTTTGTGAAAAAATTGTTATTATTCAAATTTTAGTTTATTGGACTTTGAATTATTTTTGAAAACTTTGAACAAATTTAATTCAAGTAAAAAAAATATTTTACCTTAATTTGTTATATCAAAATATTATAATACATGATTTAACAGACTTTTATTATAAGTTAACCGAAAATATTTAATGTACTATATTTATTAATACAATAATATGTTATAATTATTGTATATCAAATTTGAACTTTAAATCTTTAAATACGTCCGACAAAATTTCTGATCATTTTTAAAGTTAATTATTTATTTGTGCAGACATTTTTCTATGCAGCTAATATTTTTAACCATAATCTTTAAAAAATAAAATTAGACGAATTATTGTTGGTAAGTTAAGTGAATTAATAAAAAAAATGGTCAAATTTGATTTTTTTAATATTTAATCCAATATCTATTTAAAGTTATCCAAATCCAATTAAATTATCTAATATAAGGTGAAAACCCATTAAAAATAAATGGTTAATAATAAATAATAGGATAAATTATACCGGTGATCACTTAATTATAGCCTCTTTTCATTTTAACCATTATTTTTTATTTTTTGTCAATTGGGTCACCCAACTATTTAAATGTATTCAATCAGATCACTTGTCGTTAACAGTTAACGGATGTGTTGATATGTCAGTTAGTAAAATTGATATAATTTCATATTTGGCCATTTTTTATATATTCTATCAATTTGGTCTTAATTTAATATATTAAATTAAAAGAAATTTAATTATTAAATTGAATGTTGACACATGGCACCGTCTGATTGGAAGATTAATTTTATTTTAATTTATTAAAATTAAGATTAAATTGTTAGAATATATAAGTAAGAACAACCAAACATGTAATTATATTAATTTTATTAATTACAACCTCAGCACATCTGTTAATTGTTAACGATGAGTGATCTGATTGAATGCATTTAAATAATTGAGTGCTTCGATTGATAAAATTTTAAAAATTATGGTCAAAATAAAAAAGATCTATAGTTAGCTGGTCTCCTGTATAGTTTAACCTAAATAATAATGTATAAAAAAATAACTTTTAGCTTCCATTTCTCCTCTCTTTCTCTCTCTAGTGATTGAAGATTTGAAGTGTAGTTTGTAGTAGTAGCAGCCGCAGATATCCACTGTCCCAAACACCAAACCCTCTTTGGAAAAATAAAAGGGATCGATTAATTCGAATCTTCATCGAGTTAGGTCACTTTGTCACCCCATTTCCGTTAGAATTGATCAGGTAAATTTCTCTCTCCACCGCTATTCCTTTCTTTTCCTGTCGTTTTCGCTCCCCTGTCCGGATGAAAACAATTTTAAATCCCTCCATTTTTCTTCAAATTTGTTTAATTTTCCCTTTTTAATCTATCGGGAACTACGTTTTGAGCTGCCAAACTTAGTGTACTCCCCCCCCCCGAGTTGCAATGAAAATTTCACAGTTCTGATGGTGTCCTTTATTTTTAGGTTTGTGAGTGTTTGTTTAGTGTTTACGATCTCTGGATCGTTGTAGACTTTCTGTGATTTTGGAGCTTGTAAAATCATGGTGAGGAAATCTACTTCGCTTTTGTATTTTTTTTTATAGAAATCTACTTCGCTATTGTAAATTTGCACCTTTTTTATTTCTTTGTTTTTCATTAATATCTTAGTTATTTTTCGGCTTTCTAGGGATAAACTGGAGCTATCATTTTCTTTTTCTTATCTTGTTATTGCCTTGATCGCTTATTTGTTGCAGTTAATGGATAAAGGAATGTTGACTTTGAACTTAATGATGTTGAAGTTTTGAGTGCTTACCATTTTAGTTAAATTTGGAAGTATCTTAATCTGTTTGTTAGTATTAATGGAAGTAAACTTGTTCTAAATGGTCCTTACTCCTTACTATTAGGCCACTTTAGAATCGGGAATTAGAGAAAAGTAGGAAAAGCTTTAATATGTTGAAACTCATTATCTTACGAAAGGGAGCTTAGATCATTGATCTGTTTATAGAACGCATCTATTACGATGACAGGACTACTAGAACTCTTTTGAAGTTAAGTTTATTGTTTGGCGACTAAATTTTGTTCAAATTCAAAGTAAAGTTGGTGCTGTAAATTATGCTTTATTAGGTTATGAACTTATGACTTTTCACAGACAATGTTGAATTCTTTGAAAAGAAAAATGTGTTTGCTTATTACGTTGAACTTTATCTAACTTGATATTTGGTTCTCATGGTTTTTGTTCATTTTCCCCTTTTGTTACAAAGAGATAGAGAAGGATTTTGCACTCTGGAAAATCTGTTTGGTTTTGCATTCTTTCTCTACTTCTGCAGTGGGGGGATCTTATCCCAGCTGTTTTTTTTTCTCTTACAGGTTTTATGCCATGGAAGATAAGCAGTCAGTTGCAATACTCATAGACTCAACAACCTCTAAGATACAGCAGCTTCAGAAAGCATTTGCTGAACTTGAAAGTCATCGTGCTGTAACACTTAATCTGAAATGGAAAGAACTTGAGGAGCATTTCCATGGGCTTGAGAAATCCTTGAAGAGGCGCTTTCATGAGTTGGAAGACCAAGAGAACGAATTTGAGACTAAAACAAGGAAATCTCGGGAAATGCTGAAGAAGCGTGAAGCTGCTGTTGTAGCCAAAGAACAAGCTTCACTGGTGAGGCTACAAGAAAAGAGAGATGCTACTGTTTTTTCCATTACTAATGCTCTAGAAAATCATAGGAAAGTATCACTTGAGGAGCCTGCTGGTGTCAGCTGTGATGGAGACATTGGTGAACTGTCAGTTGAGGATAAACCACCAGATTCTGTAGCTTCTGAAAGAAATTTGGAGGGTATAAAATGTTCTGAGAATGGAAATTTTGAGGTGAAATCTTATCCCCGGTTGGTAAAACTTTGTGAAGAAATGGACTCTGAAGGACTGCACAAGTTTATATCAGATAACCGTAAGAACCTTGCTGCCCTAAAAGAGGAAATTCCTTGGGCATTGAAGGCTGCAGCAAGCCCAGCTCACTTGGTCCTGGAATCTTTGAAAGGATTTTACCCTTTAGGAGCACTGAATGTGGACCGAAAGAAAGATTCAAATCTACTGGGTCTTAGGCGAACCTGTATTATGTTGATGGAATGTCTTAGCTTTTTGCTAAGTACTATGGATGCGGTGTCTGTTTCTGCAGAAATCTCTGAAGATATTAAGGAGCAAGCAAAGTTAATTGCTGAGGAATGGAAACCAAAGTTGGATACCCTTGACCTGGATGCTAGTAATGGTAATTCATTGGAAGCTCATGCTTTCCTGCAACTTCTTGCCGCTTTTGGTATTGCTTCTGACTTCAAAGAGGAAGAACTCTCAAGGCTGATACCAGTGGTCTCTCGTCGTCGTCAAACAGCTGATCTCTGCCGTTCCCTTGGTTTGTCTGAAAAAATGCCAGGTTTGTGTAGTATAAACTTACATTGTAACATTTGCATAGAATACTCGTTTGTTTGAAAAAAAAACCTCAACTTATTCTGAAAAATGAGATTGAATATTTCTTTATTTACCATGGGTTTAAATTCTTATTCATCCATTATGTTTCTTTTCTTCCATTCTAGTAGAACTGATATGACTAACCATTTCAAGTAGGCTATGAGGAATATTAAAAAGAAAAACCAGGTCAGGTCAGACCTTGTAAATCAACTGTATTTTTCTGTTCTCCCTATCTTAGGCAACTTCAAGCAATTGGGACCAGGAAAACAAATCTTTTCTTGAAGATTCTAAATTTTTTTAAGTTTAGATATTTTTGAAACAATATCGCTGTTAAAATGCTATTTTGAAGTTGAGTGGACTATCTTCCATTTTGGATTGACTGGCATCTTTAGATATGTGTCCAGTTTGTTTGGGATGAAGACGAGCAGTGTTTGAATATATTGTTTTACGTCCCTGGATAATAGTACTAATGTCCTAGAGCAAGAATTGTGAATTACACATGAAATAATGTCGTAGATAATCAACCATTTCTTTCACTTATCCTGGTTTTGGTTAGTTTGTAATTTCCTCTTATTTATCTTTCCATTATTTATATTTCAGGTGTAATTGAAGTTTTAGCGAATAGTGGAAGGCAAATTGATGCAGTTAACCTGGCTTTTGCATTTGATCTTACAACACAGTTCTCACCTGTACCTCTACTCAAGGCCTACTTGAGGGAGGCAAAAAAGGCTTCTTCCCCTGTTAAGCCTGGAAATGCCTCTCTCACTGCTCAGGTATGTTCTTTATTCCTCTACTTCAAGGTGATTGATTTTCCTAATATTTGCTGAATATATTTTGTTTGAGGGACAAGTCCCTACTTTTGTTTTTGTCCACAAGGCATTGTCTGAAGCAGATTGTACCAGTTTTCTGTCCCACCAGCCATTCTAACATTTAGGATGATCCGACTATTAGTTATCACCTACAGTACCTTTAATAAATCTGACACCATTTGGTAGCTAAATTGTTTAATAGTTATTTGCATGTGGCCCCTGCGGACAATTTGTTCTTGTTGTTTGAATGCAGAATATTTTGCTAAAAATCATGCTGCTTATTTTTTTGGGTGAAATACTTCTGTATTTTCAGACCGAGTTTAGCGAGCGAGAGTTGGCTGCTCTGAAGGCTGTGATAAAATGCATTGAGGAGCATAATCTTGAGGAGCAATACCCTGTTGATCCACTTCAGAAGCAGGTTCTCCACTTGGAGAAGGCTAAGGCAGATACGAAGGGGGCAACTGAAGCTGCAAAGCCTCAACCAAAGAGGCCTTGTGCCATTGGTGCTGGATATGGTCCACGGGTCACTAACGTGGCTGCTGACAAACCATTATATTCTAGAGTCGCTGACAGGTATCCACAGTACGTGTATGACAGACCCTACGTTTACCCCGGACCTGTTGACAATCATGGCCACACTCTTCTTGGTTCAGCCACTTACAACTTGTCTCCCAGTCATGGTAACTACTTCGGCTACCAGTATCAGGTTCCCTATCTCCACTAATTCCCAAAAGAATGGCAACAGGGTGACTGTGATCCTCACTAAACTATTAGCCTTAACCTTCCACGTTGCAGTGTTTATGTACTTGGTATCTAAAAAACAACAAAAAATAAAAAAAAGCCTTGTTAATTTTAATCTGTTGTACAAGAAGATGCTTTAATCCTCTAATATATGCACTCTGTTTTTTTGTGTGTACCCAACTTTTTTTTTTCGTTCATTTCCACCGTGCTAATATTTTGGAATCGGCGTTTTGATCCACCAAGGCCCTGTGTTTCAAAACACCGTATGTTGGCTTGGAAGCAAATTTCCCAGCGGTGTATACATTAGGACCGAGAAAAAAATAGACCGAACCGACGGGCTTATAAATTGTATGGATATCTTAAAATCTAAGCAGATGAATATGAAAATGCATCAAGCATGATTTGTGATATGATAATATAAACGAACTACATAAAGACATACTTATTGTTAAATCTAAATCTAAGCAGAGCAGCGATGACCTGTTTATGCTTATGTTGAAGTGGAGTCTCGTTTTCCATCAATAAAAAGTTCAAACGTTTTGAACAAATTCGGTCAATGCTAGAATTACAACAGTGATGCAACACTTGGAACATCTTCGAGGAACCAATCGTGTTATTTTCAATGTTCATAGAGAAAGAGAGTCATGTCTTAACTGGTCCTCGTATGAACGTGATCCTCCCCTCAACAAAACAGCTGCAGTGGTCGAGCACAAGCCAATATTGTACAGTACCGAAATCGGAGTTGACACATAGAAAACGGAAAGATAACTGTAGCTAGGAAGTTACTGTAGTCTGAAAGTATAGATGATCTTGGGGTTTTACTCCCAGCCCAAAACTGCGGAAACTGGTTCCTGCAGTTGATTACTCTGGAGGCACCAGTTCTTATCCACTGTTTATGGCCCAGGTAAGTGTTCACTGAACAAAAATTATAAACCGTTACTTGGAGTCGGAGATCAAGAACAAGCATAAGAAATTAACCTATGCTACTTCAAAAAGCTTAATCGTGTGTATACTTTGGTTGATAGACAATTGTAAGTCTGTAAAGCTTAAAAGTTTAATGCGTTCATATTTTGCTATGTAACGAATTTCAAATGCGGTGGCGTCTCCCATGGAATTGGAACTCACCACTCATTGAACGAACCTTTTTTTTAATTAAATAAATAATTTAAAATATTTTTATAATATTATAAATATACTTTTTAAAATAATTTAATATAAATTATATTTAATTATTTTTTATTTTCAAATAAAGTGAAAAAATTATTCTTTAATTTAATAATGATGTAAGAAAGTATTAAGTTTGATATAGTAAAAATAAATTCACGTTATAGTTGAATGACTAATATTTCGATCATTAATTTAAAGTGTCACATATTCTAATTTCATAATCATAAAAAATATTGATTTTGCGGTGATACTATTTATTCTTTAATTTCATATAAAAGGCACAAGTTCAATTCATGCTAAGGGTAATAATACTATATTTTATTTTAACTTCATAGTTGATAACACGTGTTACCATTTAATTGATTAAATAAAATTAATTAAAAATACAAATGGAGAAATAAAAAAATGATGTGGAAATTAAAAAAAAATAAAAAATCGATATGTCGTGCAACATCAACATTGTCGTTAATGGTTTAGAAAAAATAAAATTTAAGTATTAAATGTATAATTTACCTTTTTCAATATTTACTTAATAAGGAAAAATTAGTTAATGATATGTTTTGATGTATCGCTTTAGTAGTATGTTGCAGACAAAGATGTTCAAATTAATCTGTTATCGTTAACACAACCATTAACCGGTGTAACCACTACATTTTATAGGTTAAATTACCGAATTGTTAAGATTAAATGGTTTCGATTAATCAAATCGTTAAAAATATAGATTAATGGTTACAGTTAATGAATTTTAATAAATGATTAACCATTGGTTAACCGTTAATAAATTATAATTTATTTTAATATTTTTTAGAGAACAAGATTAAAAATAAAATCAAAACAATTTCTCATATTTTTTAGTTATCATGTTTATCTTATATAGGACCACATTAAATCAAACATAGGTGAAAGAAATACACGATTATTACAAAATATAAATATACACGCAAAATTTCATTGTCAAAAAGGTAAAAGGTCATCAGAGGTCTTGTACTTTTGAAAGAAAATCAATGTGACCCTCATATTATATTTTTCTCTCAAAGTGGCTCTTCAACTCAGAAAATAAACCCAATGTTACTCTTTGACCAATGTTTTTTGGCGTTGATCGTTACAGTGCTGACGTAGTTAGAGGGTCACGTTAAGAAAAAAAATAATAAGATGGTCACGTTAATTTTTTTTCTTTCAAAAGTACATATACATCTGATGTCTTTTTGTCAAAAAAAAAAATAAAAATAAAAACTATTAACTTAATAACAATATATTTATACGGCGTGAAATAAGAATTTGGGTTCAATCCCGGTACGCTTAAAAAGAAAGGTTTGGAGGAATTCACTAGTCAATGCAAGGGGGAATAAATGGTGGAGCCTGGCCTGGAATAATATCCCAATTTCGTAGCGCGCTTACGGGTGTTTGAGCTTCAAGCTTTGTTTTCATCTAAAAAGACGAGAGTTGATTTAGTCCTGGCCATGATGGTCTTTGAGCTTGACATTCATCCTTGTTTTGTTTAACCATATACGCGCCTTGCATGGACATGATTGTTAGCCTGTTGAAAATATTCCTTCCCATTTCTTCATTCATGAACATCAACCCCATCTTCTCCTCTATTTCCCATTTGTTTAACTCTATATCCCTTCATTCTTACCAAACAACATGGTTGTAAGGCTAAAATAACGCCGCTATATACCTGTTTTACTATAGTGAACCTGCTCACATGATCAGATATCGTCCATCTTCTTCCTTGGTTTTGTACTTCTGTTGCTGTTTTTATCACCGGCCACCGCATCTCATATCAGAAACTAACTTGACCATCTTCTAGTCTGGTAAGTCCTTTCGCAGAGCGTTTGCTTCTTCCTTAAGCTTAATTTAAGCATGTTGCTGGTTTGTTAATTTATCAATTAATTAAATGTATAATATTGGGAAACAAATGATTTAACCAAATTATAAATGCATATGGATAATATTTTAGTCTATTTTAATTTTTATATAACCCTCTTATAATATTGTTGTATTTCCTAGTTATTCAATAAAACTACCTACTATTATTAATTAAAAGGTTCTAAATTATTTCAGAAATTATTAAACTATTTTTAAATATTTTTTTATATAATTTCTATATACCTAATGGAGCTGCCTTATCATACAAGCATAAACAGCCTAATCTGCTCTTAAAACACCACTGTTTTCCCCCATTACTTTTAAGGATATTATGTTGTAATGTCAAGGCTTTTAGTGTTGAAAGAATTTCACCCATCATTGATGTGCTAGTTGTCAAAGACCTTAGAGTAACCCTAATGAAATATTCAATTAATGCCTAATTAATTTTGGGATAAATTCCCTCTTCAACCCTGGTTTCAAAGTTTGGTATATGTCATCAATATTTTATTTTATAGAAAGTCGCAACTTTTATTAAAAATAAAAAATATATAAAATTACAATGAAGATTTATAAGTATGACCGTAAACTAAAATATAATTAAGACATTTTCCTATAATCATTGACACAAAAACTAGCCATTTAGATCACACAAAATCAAAGAAGGAAAAGAATAAAAAAACCTAACCAAAAGTTTGAATAAAATAAAGATACGAACAACTCTAAATGCATCGGCAAACGAACCACAAAATGAGATGAAACTACTTGAAGACCACCGATAAATCACAAATCAGAGTCAAGAGAAATGAGAAAACTATCCACGAACACAAAACGCATATCAAAATCAATCTTAGGATCTAAAGCAAAGAAGATCAACATGATAACAAATAAGTATCATATTGATCATGATAACAAATAAGTATCATATTGATCCGTCGTGACGATTCAAATCCAACTCTTAATCATTTGACACTAAACGCTCAACTCTTTGACGTTTCTAGTACTCGAACTCGGACTTCAAAGAATAGCAACAATTACTTTACCACTGAAATCGTTTGATTCATGATTTAGAGTCCATTCTTGAAAGAATGTCATTAGAGTCCATTCTTTAAAGAGTTGAGTTTAACTTACCATTAGAGTGATAAATCCAATGAAGAACTCAGTTCTCATAGACCTCAAGTTCGTCTTCCAAAAAATATCGTAGAAAATTGTTTATTTTTATATATCTTTATAATTGATCTCTTCTTTTATGATATTATGATAAGAAAATGTGTGGGGGGGGGGGGGACTTTGTATATACTCTAAACATTTAAGAGGAAAAAAAATTGCCTTTCAGTAAAAGAAAATTAACTTTAAATATATTTATTTATTTTTTCTAATTTTCATTTAAATATCATTAAACATGTTACTATAATAGTAGAGGTGAGTAAAATTCGTCTCGATTGAAAAAATTGATATTTTCAACTCAAAAAATTTCTACTTTAATTAAATTCAAGTCGTAATTTTATAAATTTGACTCCAAAAAAATTCAAATTTAAGTTGAGTTATAAAATAGAACTCGAATAACTCAAATTTTTTAATATTTATTGTCAAGTTTTAGTCGAGTCTCTCAACTTTATATGATATGTGTATATCAAATATGAAAAAAAAAATGAAGAAGTATTTGTTTATTGTATATGATTATAGAAAATTGTTTAAATTTTAATCAAATAGTATCTTAATATTATAAATATTTATAAGTAAATTTAAACATAATTTCGGACAATTCGACTTGACTAGCTAGACTCGAATTTTATAAACTCGACTAGAAAAAAACTAAAATAAAGTTAGAGCTTTAAAATAAGACTTGTCAACTGGAATAACTCGATTTTACTCGACTCGATCGAATGTTCATCCCTATATAATTGGGCCTAAAACTCAATTAAGACTTAAGATATCTTTGTTGAACACATAAAAGAATATTACACAAATTATAAAAGGGATATTTATATGCAAAAATTCAAACTAGTGTTACAGTATCGTATTTCTCTGAAATACCCACATATAATAATTAATATTCCGTTTTATCAATTTAGGTTTCTTTTAAAAATCTCATGAAACTCTGATTTTTTTTCAATATATAAATTGGCTACT